AATTGTGCTTAGGTGGCATTTCACCCACCTCACATGGAAACAGAACAGACATAGCTACCTGATCCAAATGCCACCTGGGCACGAGAGCTGGCTTCACTACACTGGTGCTGCAAATGTCTGGCAACATTCTACTGTCTTATGTACTCAACATGGATTGTTTGTACGTTCTGTACTGTCAAGTCAGAACTGCCTTATAGCAACCTAAGGCTTTCAAGGTAAGTGGGTTTTTCCTGGTGAGTTTCCATGGCCAACTGGGGATTTGAACCCTGTTCTCCAGAGTCCTAGTCCATCACTCTATCCACCACACCACACTGGGAATCATGGTTTAGGAAGGGATAAATCTCTGCTTTAAAAGGAGGAGTATGCAGGAGATGATTGATAACAAGGGAAAATATGGATCCTGCTGGGGTTTTTTCTGATCAATGACTGGAGATAACAGCAAGTTCACACCATGTACTTCTTCCTCTCTCAGTCGAGAAAGCCAGCACTGTTGGGGGGGGTGGATCTTCCCTCAGGCTATGTGTCTGGGAAAGGAATGAGAGTAGTGCAGTAAGTTCCCCAGGACCTTTCACAGACTAGATGAGAAACCCACACAGGAAGAACTAGGCTTGAGGGCTGGAAGTTCCTTCCCCTGTAGTTTAAACCAATTATAGTTTCCCAAGTTCAAAGAGCAGAAAGTACTGTGATCTGACTGAAACGTGAAGTAGGTGTTTCTGATATTCTCTTCTGCTGCTTGGAAGAGAAAGAAGAAAGGAAAGAGTCCTAGGTTTTCCTGCAGTTTTGTTCTTATTGTACAGGTTTTGTAAACAGTGCAGATATTTAAAAGATCAGGCCAGAAGCTGCAGCACTTACACAAAGATGTCCTCATGTGCAAAATCTGGTAGCCCAGTAATTTATAAGCATACCACTAACATTACATAGATTTATGCAAGGTGGACAGAGAACAGTCCTCCATTGGAAGGACTGCCAGCGAACAAGCCTACTTTTGAATGTGTCTGTTGTTTGAAGGACTGTCAAAACTGAGACTAATTAAAGGGTCAAGAACTGCACAGACAGAGATCATGGACCTTAAGACTGTCTATCCATGGTGAACAACTGAAGAATAGAGGCAGCAAGCTCACAGCTGAGTTCACATTGTCACTGCCATCTGTACTTGAGAGAGACTCATTATAATTCTGCACATATTGCATAAATAATACCTGATTTTGTAAAGATGCATGAAATTAGATACAGACACAGACCTGCTTAACTTCACTAGGATCCCTGTTTCATCATTTTATTGAATGTTGTAATACCAAGTGCCATAGCAGGACACAAACATATGTACGGAAACAAAATTAACTTGTAGCTAGCTCTAGCTGTGCAAAGTACATTTTTGCACCCTACATCCTGTCCAACATGGGTTCATTCCATTACTGTCTGGCCCTTAACCCTAAATCATCATCATCATAGAACTGCAGATCTGGAAGGAACCCTGCGGATCATCGTGTCCAACCCCCATCAAGGAGGCACAGTGGGGAATCAAACTCCCGAACTCTGGCTCCACAGCCAGGTGTCTTTCCAGGCACACACGTTTCTGATCAATATTTAGAAAATCAGTTCTGCAAACATTGTTGAGTGTATGAATGTGGGACCTTGTGCTTATATATCCACAATTCAGAAACGCCAGGAAATGGCTGATATTGCTGCACAACATCATGCCTGCATTGGCAGCAAGAAAAAGGATGTCAAGCTTTATGTAGCAAAGGGCAGCCTGAATGCTGATGATACCAACGATTGGCAGCAAGAAAAAGGATGTCAAGCTTTATGTCCTTTTTTTGGCCACAGCCATAAGCACAACATGAAAGAAATATAGGTCAAATCAGGACTGAGTAAGTCGCATAATGAACCTTATAAGGTGGTGTGTGAAGAGTGTCCCGTCTCTGCCCCAGGGACCATATGACCCCCATTGAGAATGGCTGGTCTACAACAATGGTTCCCAACCATGAATCCTTGGATGTTCTTGGACTACAACTTCCAGAAATCCTGGCCTGAACAGCTAGTAATGATGGCTTCTGGAGTCTACACTATACCCTCTTACGCTCACTACCATTCACACTTGTCAAAAAAACAGCCAGGAGAATGGTTAATGAAGAAAAAAGGAGTGGTCTGGGATTTCCTTTGTTGGGCGTCACATTGTGAATGGCATTTGAGAACCTGTGTGAGTGATATAGTGGCAACAGCATTTGACTTAAATAAATTTTGAGATACAGCTTCAGATCTTGGGTTAGTCATTAAGCTCTACTAATGATGCTGACCTATTAAACTCTTGTCAGCCTAAGTTATGAAATGATCTTCCTAGAGACTTATTTGTATTAACAACAGAGCCTTTGAGAGCTGAGGAGAATCCTGAGATCTCTTCTAGTGTGTTCTTTTGGTTCGTGAAGGCTGCCAGAAACCCCATTGGGTTTAGCTCTTACCTTACCTGAACCAAAGAGTGTTCTTTAGAATTCTTGCCTCAATCCTCCTTGGATCTTTACCTCATACAATGCACAACTGCACTGAGGTCCTAGCATTAAGTGCTGGACCTAATTCCGCCACTCTTCTGTCTCTCTGGCCCTGCATCCCCTCCATCTTATGGGTTGAGAGGCATACCTGTGGAGGGAAGATAGCTCTATGTGTACAGGCTCCCTCCATGATGGGAAGGGGGGGCAGGTACACAGAAATGGTTTTTGTCTAATCCCCTCCTGGCTCCCAAAAGCATGGATGGCTGAGTTCCGCCAAAGACACAATATGAGCAGTAATTATAGTCAGGACCCTTGAGTGTCTTTATTAATAACACTGGGGATGCCACTGAATTGGACTCCTTTGCTGCAGGGGAAAAATGTAACTGAACCCATCCTCTAAGAATCCACCCACTCAAAGCTCACCCTTCGCTATTTGCATTCTCATGTACTTTGGGGGTGGATGGGGGGGATAACTGGTTCCACTGATTTTGATGGAAGCTAGCACTTAGATATATACAATAGAACAGGCCTCAATGTTCTGTTGATTCCCTAAATAGCAGAGGGTGTGTGTGTGAGAGAGGTGAAATATGCCCCAAGCCACACTTGTGGAACAGTATTAAAGTTCTTTCTCTGCTGATGGGTTCATTCTGGTTACACAGTTCCAGATTGGAGAAAGTGGTTGTAGTAGGAGTGTGGGGCAGGGAGGGGGCGTGCTGTTGGTGATTATGTGACTGCTTTAGGGATAGAAAGCAGGTTTAGCGCAGTTTCTTCCCTGTAAACCCCCCCATGCCTCAGTACTCTACCCTGTCCCAGACTTAGTTTTGGATCTACAGAACCACCACTATGTGGTGCAGTGGTTGTATGTACATCTGAGTAGATAGAGGGAGACCCCCTTCAAATCCCTACTCAGCCATGAAGCTCATTAGGAGTCGTTAATCTGATGGTTGTCTCTCAGCATCATAGAGATCTTGTCAGGGCATTGTTTCACCCTAAACATGCCTATCTTGTCTCATTTTTGGAAGCTAGGCAGGCCAGCTCTGCACTTAAATGAGAATGGAAGACCAACAGGGAATATTCAAGTACTGTATGGTGGTGATGATGTGACTGAGAGCAATGTCTCGCATGTCCAGAGAGGACTTGGAAAGAATCCTACCTGAAATTTTGGAGACCTGCTGCCAGCCAGAGATGACACTAGAGGTCTAGATAGACCAAGGTCTGACACAGGAGAGCATTCAAGATCTCTAATATGCCTGGGGTTTCTTCTGTGACCTCCAGAGATTTTTAGAAAGGACAAATTTTTTTTACAACAAAGGTCAAGGTCAAGGCCCCCCTTGACAATTAAGTCCAGTCGTGTCCAACTCTAGGGGCTGGTGCTCATCCTCATTTGTAAGCTGCAGAGCTGGCATTTCCCCATAGACACTTTAGGAAAATAAACCAATCTCTAATATGCCTGGGGTTTCTTCTGTGACCTCCAGAGATTTTTAGAAAGGACAAATTTTTTTTACAACAAAGGTCAAGGTCAAGGCCCCCCTTGACAATTAAGTCCAGTCGTGTCCAACTCTAGGGGCTGGTGCTCATCCTCATTTGTAAGCTGCAGAGCTGGCATTTCCCCATAGACACTTTAGGAAAATAAACCAATGTCAGAGAAGGGGCTGGTGCTCATCCCCATTTGTAAGCTGCAGAGCTGGCATTTCTCCGTAGACACTTTAGGAAAATAAACTAATGTCAGAGAGAGAGAGAGAGAGAGAGAGAGAGAGAGATTCTAGTTTGGCTCTGACAAATTAGCCTACCATTCCAGAGCTGCTCCTCCTGTGAAATAGAATGAGTCACTTGCCCCAGGCAATTGATTTTGTATGATTTAAAATGGCACCAACGTTATACGATTAATGTAAGTTTATTTTATTTATTTATTTATCTATTTTGCCAGAGATTAGAGAGGCACTCCTGGGATTTTTCTGTGCACACCCACCTCCCCCTTTGCTAAAAATAAGTACAACTTGAATCACCTTGAAGGCTGGTTGTTGGTGGTGGAGTTTACTGCTTCACCTCAGGCAATCTTGAGCTCTATAATCCTTAAAAGTGAGAATGGAAATGCCTTCACCTTGTCCTGCATAACAAAACTAACCATTAAGTGCAAATACCTGCAGACTTTTCACCTGCTTTAGCTAAAGGGGATGAGAGAGGTTCATTGAGTGGGTTCCCTGGCATGTGAAATCAGACCCCCCTGCTCCCTTTTTTGGAATGGATTTTTTTTTAAAAAAGGCACCTGTATTTCTGTAGTACAGAAGTAAAAAATAAAAGGGCAAGGACAGGTGCTCCAGAAGAGGCTTATAAGGGAAGAATAGTCCTTGTTGCTGTGCCATTCCCTGTGCTGCAAGTCTCTCAGGTAACAGGTGTCTGGTTCCCCAGTCAGTGTGCTGAAGGATGACTTCATAAGGGTGGAGTCCTGCGAGGCTGTAGAGGTGGCAGTCAGGTGAGCCAGGTAAGAACTGAACTTCTGCAGGTCTTGGAACGAGACAGGCGACAAATGCAAGAAGCGGCTCCATCCACTCCATTCATCCAAGCAACAGGCAAGCACAACACACCACTTTCAAGAGGATCAGCTTAGCTCTCAAGCACGGCTTTGTCCTGGAAATGGAAGCCAAAGATCCTGTTGGAAAAGAAAGCTTGGGGGCCAAAAAAAAGAACTTGCCCTTCTTAAGGCACAGGTTCTACATGCTGGAGAGGAGGAAGACCGACACGGTGGTGGAGAGTGGCATTTCTGGAGACCATAACAGCACTGGGACTTTGAGGAGGAGCCAGTCAGACAGGAGTGAATACAGCCAGAAATTACAAGGTACTGGGAGGAGTGGGAGAGGGAAGTAGGAAGGACGAAAGAATCTAGTGACATAAGCTTTGACATAAAACATGGCATAAATTGTTGTGGACTGCAACTCACTGAACCGGGCTGGATTCCACCAAAGTTTATGCCACAGGAAACATGCTAATCTGTATGGTGATGCAATGCTCTTTATCATTTATCCATATGGTGTAACCATATCAAAGCAGTTCTATACTATATATATCTTGCAGGTTGGTGGACAGTACGATACAAGTTGGAGGGCAGCCTTTGAGAGACTAAATGCAATTGCAGCAAATGGGAAAGAATTTTATTCTAAAATAATTAACGATTAAGCACATCCACTTACTAATTTTGTAAAAGGGGGTTTACTAACTGAATATGCCACTAAGCTTAGCAGGGGCCGCGTGTGGCATCTGATCCACCTCCTCACTCTGAGAAAAGGTATGTAATTAAATGCAGATTTGCAGTACAGCTGTGATACTTTTGTACTGTAACATTTTATTATGCATCAAAGGTCGTTTTCAATTTTTTAAAAAACTGAAAACGTTAAAATGTGCAGACTTCTTAAGATACACACACAAATAAAATAACTGGAAGTAAAATTGTGTTATGGGGCTGCAAGCAGGTTGCTTTGGTTTGGGCATTGTCTTGTTTAGACCTTAAACATGAGATTTGAGGCCACATTGATTTTTCACCTCTGTGCCCTTGAGGTGAGTGACATTTTATCTTATATATACCTCTCTGGAGAGAAGTCTGTTGTTATCTTTTGTGGAAGCGGCAATTCCCCAGTGCTCTTTTACTGTAATGCCATCCCCATGACTTGAGCAGAATTCTGTTCTGCATAGCAAGGTGAGATCAGATATACCTGGAATGGTGAAAGACATGAGGGGGGGGACTTTTATTTCCTAAAACAATAATCCTTTAGAAAAAATCAAGGCTATATAGCAGAAATCTGCTCCTTTGCAAGCTTACCTGGATGCAAGTCCCACCAAATTCAGTCAGACTAATTCCCAAGTAAAGAGACACAGGATTGCTGCCAAAAGGTTTTAAGCAATGATCGCCACCTGTTATTTACACATCACCTGGCTGGAGGTATGTTGTCTATAAAAACTACATTGTAATACTGAACAGGTTTGGTTACGCTGCCCAAAAGTCATGTCAGGCAGGCTCCCCTCTTCCCCAGCACACACACACACAGTCGGAACTAGCTCTTAATGAGGAACAATAGTGTAGTTTGTTCTCAACAACCTCTTCCTCCTTTCCGGGCTCCTGCCCTTTGAGGCCTTTTTAAAGGACACTGTAGTATACACACTGCATTTCCTTATATGCAAAGGCTACCTGGCGGAATAATCTGGTTTACAACACATTCCTGGAAGAAATGGGAATACCACCTGTTCAGTTAGCTGTTTGTTAAGACTACAGTATGTCCTGCTTTACCCATAATTCAGGGATACATCTATCACTCCCACCTAATCATCCAGTCTATTCAACAACTACAGTGCCTTGTTTCCTTATAGAGAGATCTAGTTCCTGGTGCACACAAGTATGTGTTAGAGCTTACCTGCCAGTTGGACATGCTCCAGTTTGCTTGGGAATCGGATTTTACCATTTTGCATAATATCCTGTTGGATTTCGTAACTGCTGAGAGTGTCTTCCGATTCCGATGGGTGAATAGAATGGCATGTGGCTGCATGCCAATAAAATGTACAACTGTGCATTAGTCCCACTTTACAGGGGATGGTTCTCTACTGGCAGCTCTGCCAAATTAATCTTTGATGAATTTTTAAGACCCACTCAATCAACTTGTGTTTACATAAAGAAAACCCCACAGTGCTAGGTTTTGGACAGGCTATGGGCAGGGTGCTCCTACAGCCCTCCCTCTCATGGGACATCTTCCTCCATGCTGCTGTTGCATCAGCTGCAAGAGGTTTTGTGCCATTGAAGACCCTAAGCCTCCAGCATATAGGTGTGGATTCCTAAGTGCCCCATACCACAAACATGGTCTTTTAAGAGCAGTGTGGAGTCCAGAGTGTTACCATCTCTGTGGAGCAGATGAGTTAGTAACCAGCAATAAGTACCTCTCGGTTTTTTATGACTGGACTTGCTGGAAAAATCAATGCTTTTTCAGAATATTTTCAGAGCAAAACAGTATTAGGTTCAAAGGCAGGTTGCTGCAATGGACTATTTTTGATTATCTTGAAGTTCCTCCCAACTATTCTGTGGCTAAAATCTAGTCGTAAATTAAAACTAGAGCAGACCCATTGATTCAACGGGCCTACTCTAGTTGTAACTTACTACTGAGTTTCAGCCTCTGAGTCTTTGAAAGCTGTAATATCCATAGATATCAGGAAACATTTACATCACAGCAAGGATCTTGCAAAGATATCGGCCGACAAACATGAGTTAGTGGTTATGTCAGTCCAGGTGTGTGCATGAGTGTGTTTGCATGCATGCACAATCAAATTGATTCCAACTTATGCCAACCCTTTCCAGGGTTTTCTAGGCAGAGAATATACAGAAGGGGTTCACCATTCCCTTCTTCTGAGGGTGCCCTGGGACTGTGCAGCTTACCCAAGGCCACACGGGCTGGCTCTACTCGTAGGAAGCACAGTGAGGAATCAATCTCAGGCTCTGTAGCTGGATACCTAAACCACTCGTAGTTAAATATTTGTCACATTTTATTACCTTGGAGCGAGTCTGACTTTCACTGTGTGGGTGAATTCCTCATGGAATGCTTTATTGAATCATTTCAATACAATTAGATGGTGTGACCACTGTGTTTTGGTGGTGTATCAAAACATACTCTATAACTTTCAGAGAGAATAATGATTGTAGAATTTATGCAGGTTCCAGACTTTACAAATCACCACACAATGTAGGAAGAAAACGCTGGTCTGAGGCCACGGCAAACAGTTCTCAGTGGGGATATTCTTTTTTTATCCCTGGTAAATTTTCTCCTTTTTATGGGGTTTTCAGCACTCCAGAGAGTGTTCACACAACTATTCAAAGAATCTAAAGTCAGGGGACTGAAATCAAATCTTTCTGGGAACTGTTAGATGCCTTTTTAATATCTATTCCCAAAAAGCTGTTCATTGAAAAGACAAATCTGGTGACTGGGGTTTTGGATTACCTGATCATACATGTATCACTAGAACTGATCGTAGCAGAGCAATCTCAGATTCTATAGCCATGCATGCCAGGTCATGGGAATTACCACATTTCTTCTCTTCAAATACACTGGAAAAAGAAGATATCAAAAGAGAGAGATGTATCCTTGGCCTATTTTTTGAATGCAAGTTCTCTAGCATGTTGCTGATGTAGTTGGGAGGCAACTGGGATCTCTTCAGACAACTCACGAGCGGGCTGCAGGATCATATGTATTCCTCTGTTTTCCTCATCAGCGTTAGTTAAAGTTAGTTGCTTCAGAAATCTGTGTTGCAAGCCTTAGCTAAGATCTCAATCAGCAAGTGTATTAACTATGCTTAATGCTCATTAGTGTCCTTTTTATCTAGTATCTTTTAACCCCTTGTTCAAAGAGATCCTGAGATTGGCAGCATAAGGTAAAGTGGACATTGATATTTCAAATTAGTGTTGGTGTTTAAAACATTTAAAAATGTCTTTGAGAATGGGCATTTTACTATGCATTCTCGGAATTAACATATAGCGCAGAACTGTGCACTTTAACACAGGCTACTATATAAAAAAGACAGCAGCAATTGAAATATGGATTTATCACAGGATGCTAAGAACGTATTGGATCCAGAAATTGACGAGCAAAAGCAGTATTAACTAAAAGCCTGTTGCATAAGTTACACCTTTGGAACATTGGCAAATGTTATCAGTGAGGAAAGATTTGCAGGAAATAAAGAATTTGTACTCACCTTTGGAACATTGGCAAATGTTATCAGCGAGGAAAGATTTGCAGAAAATAAAGAGTTTGTCACATGGGTTGTCCAACCTGCCTAGGACTGGAGTCATTGCACATGAACTGTAGCCTTCTTCCTCCCTGGATCTCACAGCTTGCACCCAGTGAGACAGATTAAACAGAAGTCAACACTCCTTAAAGCTGCTGGAACCAAAATCAGAACAGCTATAATACTGGGCGATCTCCAGGAGGATAGGAATGAGAGGAGGAAGAAGAATGATGTCTATTTAGAGCAGGGGTGGCCAACCTCTAGAGTTTGGGGGGGAGCTGCACATGCCCATCCCTGCATTTGAGAGGGCCACACCCACTCCCACAACATCATTCTCATTGTTTTTCTTACAAAACATTGGAAGGGGATTTAACCTCTTACATCTGCTAGTGGCCCACAACATGTGTTAAACAATCATGTAAAGGTCTTTTACATTGGCATGGTTTACAACTTGGAAAATTGATTCCCCTGCCCTTAGAGAGCACAAGGTTCTTTTGGAGCTCAATTTCTTTTCAGTTTTTTCCCCACATTCAGGCTACATGCTTCCAGCCCCTGAGTTAGAGGTTAATCACTGAGACTCTTTGGGGAAAGGCAGGGAACATTGTCTGTGGCTAAAAGATGAAAGGATGGAGAAAAAACACTTAATCATATAGTTCACTCCTGATCTCTCAGACAGGTTAAAAGTTTGGATACCACACAGCCCCAATTTTTGTTTTTTGTTTTTGTTTTTTTAAACACTAAAACCATCTCCAGAATCCACCAGCCAGCATGGAGAAAATATGGCTACAAAAATGATTCTTACAACCTCACTGCTTGTTTCTTGTGTTTATGTCTGGATGGGTTTGTCTGAGACCTCAAATAATGAGTTTAAGGCTACCACCAATCTCCCTATCCAGAAATCCCAGGTTTGTGGGATGTGTGAGAGAGAGGAGAAGAGAGAGAATGCTGCTCTTTGCAAGTGTGATGCAAAGCACAACTTGTTACAATTACAACTTGCATAAACCACACAGCTTGGGGGGAAACCATTTTATTTCTGTGTTATCATAGCTTCTTGAAAATATAGGAGGGGAGAGAATAATCCAAAATGCACTACATTCTGTGCCTACTGCCAGATTTTCAGTGGCACAATATTTTTTTTTCATGTTACTTTTTAAAACTCTGCATACTTGCAAGGCTGACTTGTGTGCCTGAATGGAATAAGCCTTCTCCCAGTTTGCTCCTTCGTCCAGTGGAAAGACTGGAAAATCCACACCTGAGTGGAGCTATCCTGGCTTAGGACCCTCCCTCTCAACTAGCCTGTCTCTCCAGTGCCCCAGACACATAGACATCTTCGGCTAGCTGATTTGCTGCCGAGAGCCTGGAGCAGGACTGCTTACCAAAGGCTTTGCACCCCATTAACATTTTTTTTTGCAAGTTCGGCTGTCACTTGGAGGCCCCTTTACACCTGGGGAGGTGAGTGTGGAGATTTCTACGGCATGGCTTTAGAAATGATTTATTTTTTTACTGTTTTTATTGCTAATTCCATCACCCACCCATCCCCGCTTTCTTTGCAAAGGACACAGGTAGCTACCTTATTTGGTATTGTCATTTCTTGGGAAGAGCCTCACCGGCATGTAACCTGACACCTCCAAGGACAAGCAAACCTGGCACCTATTGTATTGCTTAGTGGCAGGGAGCCAAAGGGATGCTGTGTCTCCCCCCTCCCCAATACCTCTACAAACTGCTGCCGATGCAAATGTATAATAGACAAAGAGGTGACTGCCTTGGCTATGGAGTACGCATTGGGTGACATTCGTCCAACTTTCATTCCATGACTTTTTCAGCAGTGTTTGTAAAATACCTGTCTAAGACATGTAAGCTCTCAACCGAACAAGGTCATAGGTCTGGCTAGTTGGCAAACGAATGAATACCTAAGTTGATACCTTTTTACAGCCAGAGAGTGAAACTCTGAACCTACCATAAGGGAAAGCTTATTATTTGGAGAAGATAAGAACTGCTCCTGATATGTTGTTTACTTAGCGTCTGCATTTATCAGACTGATTCTGTGTTAGTGCCGAAGCTTTTCATCCTTAGAATTTCCAGTAGGGTAACTGCATTAGCTTGCTGCAGCAAGAAAAGACTCCGGTGACTCCTTAAAAACTTACATACAGTATTTTATTTGGTGTAAGGTTTTGTTGAGGTTAGCCCCCTTTGCAGTCCACTTGTAGCAAATAAAAAACGCTAGATATTGCAAGGCTCTTGGTTGTTTTGGTTTCCTTAGAGGGTGCATCATATGCTGATCCTAAAAGTCCATGCTATGATGGAAGGAAACAATTTGGCTTAGATCTAAGGGCATTTCAGGATCAGCATATTGGAGTAAAAAAAAGAGTTTGCAATTAATTTACATTTTGTATTTTAATTGATGCAATGTAAAGAGAATGTTTGCTTGTGATTATCATCATCTTAGAACTGCAAAAGTGAAAGGAACCCTAAGAATCATCAGCATGTTCTACCGTTCTTTGTGCTTATCATTTATATTGTTTATGTAGGAGTGCGATTGTGCACATGGTGCTTTGTAGAGGAAATTAACAAACAGACAACAACAAACAAAGAGAGGAGGGCAAAGAATAAGGGCTGGATAGCCCAGCAATTTTAGGCATCTGCTTGGGGAGTCAGAGTTTGGCAGTTTGGGTGTCCCCACTGTGCCTCTTTGACAGAGCTGGACTCAATGATCCATGAGATCCCTTCCAACTCTCTAGGATATTATTGTTAAAAAAATACCAGGTGCAGTCAATCAAAATTACAAAAACGTTGACTGATATTATATAACAGATACAAATTTTAACCAAAAACCTAAGTAGCTGCTGATGATGATAATGACAACCCTAATTCCATTCTGCTGCACAATGTGTATGTCTTTTCTTATTCTGACTTAGACAAAAATATGTTCTCCATCATACAGACATTAATTATACGGTTACTACATTTTATAGAAAAGATGGCACCCCAAGCAGGGTCTTCAGGGCCAGTCGGTTCACCGCTAGAAAATGAAGAGCAGCGGAATACACGGATGATGGCCAGAAGGCAGAAAATTATTGCTGAAATGATCCAGACTGAAAAGGACTATCTCAGCGATCTGGAATTGTGCATCAGGATCGTAATTGAGCCCTTGAGAAGAAAGCAGGTAAAGAAGTGTTGGGTTGTTGGGAAGGACTGCACATTGACTAGTATAGGAGTGGCTACTTTTCCGACTCTTGGTGTACTGCAGTTCCTAGCAATCCTAGCCAGCACAGGCACTGGGGAGGAATGCTGGGTGTTGTAGTCCAACAAATTCTCCCCCCACACACACATTTTTAAGTACTGTATTTATTTAAGAACAAATCAACCTTTTGCTTTTTCATAATTTGATTACCGTCCTGGTTTTATCTTATCATTTAATTTTAGTTTTCTTCTATGTTACTCCAACACTGTCTGGTAGCTGCTGCCGTTTATACAATACATCCCATCGTTCAGTTTCCTTTTGAATTGAAGATTCTTTCAGCCCATCTGATAGAATATTCCTTTTTTTCACTTCCCATATTTCCACCATAAAATTCTCTGGTTTCAGTGTCTCTGCTTCCTTGAAATTTTTGACATAATACTTTTTAATTTTGGAAGCTGCATAGGTCACTGGACAACTCTCTATCTCATTTATGTTACCTGGTGTCATGCCTAATATAGACGGTTCTAAAGTTTGTATAGCTTCATTTAAGTTTTGTTTAACATCTACTGTCTCCTCTTTCGTCCCTCTCATCAAATCTTCTATTTTGCTAAGACCCTCATTCAATTGCTGAAACCCTGTTGTTATTATCCTCTGAATGTTAATCTGCCAATCCTTCTCCATTTCCTGTACCACTGCTCCAAAACTTTGGGATTGAACATACCAAGTCACCATTTGTCCTCTAGAATTTTTGGAGTCTATCTCAGACTTTGGGGTTTGTAATACTATGCCCTTAACTACGATAATCACCCCTTAGATATCCTTCCACAGTTTCCACAATTTGTCAACAATCCAAACCCCTCATCATGAACCTCCCCTTAGATCTCCCTCCAATCTTTATCCAAATATTATAATATAAAAATCAACTTTTAACCCAGCAGATTCAAAATCAAATAGAACCGTGGCGCAATTATTTCTTCTTCTCCCGAGTCTAGCAAGCTACTGTTATCAGACTCACACGCAGTCCGACAAACAAAACAACGATCACAGAGTATCAAACTGTCCAGTAGTTGTCCTTGAAGCCTGTCTTATGAGATTTTCATTAACCCCTTGATACTCCTTGGTCCAGTCGACCACGTCAGCTCCCTTCTCCCGAGAACCACCAAATTCTATTATTTACAGTTCACAAAATCCAGGGAAAAATGAAGAGAAGCGTGTCCCAGCCAAACTACATTCATCACACTCAAGTCTCTTAAATCCAGTCAGATGGTGTTACTATCTGGGATTCTTTTCCAAAAAACATAAGATTTATTTTTCCGTTTCACTCTCCTGGCTTTGAAATCACCCTGGCGTTTTAAGAGTTCACTTGGAGAGGCTTTAGTTTCGCTTTGAGTCAGACTGATAAGATAAATTCGCCGCTGCTTTTCTTCTTTCAGCCAAATATTTTCATTCTTATTTTCAGCTTAATGAGGCTGTTTCATAAATCAAAGACTTTGGCGTACTTACTTGTTATATATTCTTAGTTTATATTGATTGCTCTCCTCTCCCCCGGTAAAGGGTTCCTCGCGGCTCAGTGCCAAAGATGGCACCCGCTCCGGTCCATGCACGGTGATTTCTTCAGAGGGAAGAAGTCCGGGTCTGCCTCCCATTCTTCTCCTTCTGCGGCTCACCATCTGCTTCAGAGAGACTTCTCCTAGACTCTCCTTCGATCCCCATTTCAAAAGGGGGATCCCGGACTGGATGGTTCCAGTTTTTTTCAGAGAGAGCTCTTCTCTGGAGTTACTGGCAGTGCCACAACAAAGCCCCGCCTCTCGTAGTCCAACAAATTCTGAAGGGCTACTGTTTTCCGACCACTGGCCTATAATACACATTCAACATCATTCTTCCTGCTAGAGGTGAGAAATGACTCCTGGACTGATACAAAATGACTGCCTGTGATCCCATGGTTTTAGATCTTCAATGGTGTGCACGTTAAGAAACTATGCACAGGAATCTTTTAAGGCTCATAAGGTTCCAGTAAAGAAAGACAATAATGCTGTTTTCTTGGACACTGACTATGAATAGCTTTGATTCAAGTGGGTGAAATATAGCAAATTCGGACAAAGAGTGAGAGTGACGGATAAGCTTAACCTTTCTCACCATACCTGTTTTCTACAATCTCTTTGGGTAAATAGCAGCAGCATCTCTCTACTTTACATAGTAAATTATAATATTCATATTTACTTCTCCATATTACACTCTGGCTCTGCATATTAAATTCTCAATTTAAGATTTAAATGCACAGTCCTCCCTGGCCTCATTCATGTGATGCATGTGCATTGCTCGATTCCTTTACATTTGGTTATTACGTATGCAGTGACAGGAAGCTGAGCGATGTGACATTATTGAAAAGCTTTGTGTCTAACTAAGATAAGGTGAGATTTGGGACTGGTTTGGACATAATGCAGAATTGTAATTTAAACTTTGGGGAAGTGTGCAAGCTTGAATCTCAAACAGTTTAATTCACATGGCAGTCAACTATGGTTTACTGAAATGAGTCAGAGATGGGTTAAACTAGGGTATATTGCTAATTTTAGAAAATATGTTATTTTATTAAATTTTTCAAACACAGGACTGTAACCAAAACAGACAAGAAAAAAAAAGGAAAATCTTTAAAAAGACCACACAGACAGACAGACAAACAAACAAACAAAAATACATAAAGCTGAAATCTAATTATTGACAAACGGTTCAATTTTAACACTTTTTTCAATTTACAAGTAAAAGAGGAATTAATTAATGGGCTGGAGATTTTCTTTATCATTCTTTATATTTCAATTTGTATTTAGTCCATTTTACATAATCTGAAGACCTTAAACATACGTTCAGTACCTTTCCGATTTGTATACAAAATGAAATCATGAAATAAAATCTGGTATTTAATACATTAATGTATAAATTCAACCAATGTGCTGGATAGCTCAGTGGTTTAGGTATCTGTCTGTGGAGCCAAAGGTATGGAATTCCATTTCCCCCTATGTCTCCTGTGAGCAGAACCAGCATGTGTGTCCTTGGGCCAAAAGCTGCGCAATCTCAGGACCACCTCAGAAGAAGGGAATGGTGAACCACTTCTGAGTACTCTCTACCTAGAAAATCCTGGAAAGGGACACCATAAGTCAGAATTGACTTGATGACACATGATTATTATTATTAAATTACAACCAGCAGGGTGTATACAGACACATGTGATGGTCATTCTCTCTAGTGTCACAGTTTTGGGAAGAGTATTTACATAAATGCAGCAACCCTTAGGGAGAACTCCTTAAAACTATTACCTGCATAAAGTACCACCATTGTAATTGTTTTAAGGAGCTCTCCCTAAGGGTTTTTGATGCGGTTTTCCTTAATTGGCCTTTCCATAATTTGTTCCGTATGGTTATGTTTTGCTGGCTTGTTAATAAACCCTGGTTTAAGCTGGGGCTGTGCACAATCCCAATTTGATGTGGTGGGCAGTTTGGCTAGTAGGATCAGAACCTTATGCAGGTCAAGAGATCCAGATCCTTCTTAGTACACCCTGGTCGTCCCCCCCCCCCAAACCAAGTCATGAGTCAGAAATAAACTTCTGTGACTCTCACTCCCTTGAATGGGGAACCTACTTGGATGTAACTCTGTGGAGGAGCAGTCACTTATTTCCATGAAACCTGAAAACCTGGTAGACATAAAAGAGGGGATTCTCTAGGAATGGCAGACACGAGACGTTTCAGATTCTTGTGGCCAGCAACTCCGAGGGATGCTACTGCCTAGCAGGAATTTAGAATTCAGTATTTAGAAAGGAACACTATAACACTATATCAATCACTGCATGGGAGAGAAGGATAAAAGCAAAAGAGGGATTTAGCCAGTTTTTGTGATCTTAGCCTCCCTTTTACCATCCTTTTTACCACCGTTTCATCGTCCTTTTTACCACCTTCATCGCCATCTGTTTTAATTTATCCCGTTGGTTATCATATTCGTTTGAATGTATGTTTCATTTTATTTTTATTGTGTTTTAATATTGTGTTGCTTATTTCGTTGTTAGCCACCCAGAGTGGCCTAGTTACCAGATGGTGTGGGGTATAAATCCAATAAATGAATGAATGAATGAATGAATGAAGGAACGCACGCACGCACGCACGCATGCACACATACATACATACATACATACATACATACATACATACATACATACATACATACATACATACATACATACATACATACATACATACATACATACATACATACATAATCTGTCTTAGCGGACAATGCCAGAGACAGTCCAGTGACATTAGCAAGAAGTTTGCTTTGGCAGAAGGCTCCCAGGCAAGACAAAGTCCAAAGGGCAAACAAAATCTCCTCACACACATCTCTGAGGCAGAGGCGAAGAATGAAGTGGGGAAACTAGTCAACACACAGCTGGGCTGCAAATACTTAAAACAGCAATTTGCTACATGGGCGGTATATAAATTGAACCAATCAGTCAATCAATCTTCCTAGCGAAAGCTATGGGAGTGCCCCTGAGCCATTGTGAGTGGATGCATTTAGCCATCCCCTTTGCCCAAACCTCTTCTCTCTAGAGCCATTTGCTAGCAAAGAGGGTATGAGAACAAAAGCCATCACGTTGTTTTCCCTAGTCTTGACAGTTTTGTGGCCAGTAAGGCCTTCTACAAAGAGGGAGCTATCTTCCAAAAACTGTGCAGCACTCAGATAAATTCACAACCATTCTGAGAACAGACACAGTGGGAAAATGCTCTGCAGAGAAGCACAATGAGTCCCAGGAGATTGTGCTTTAGACAGTGGAGCTAATGGAAGTGCTTACAACAATTATATCTTTTCATGCAGATTTTACTTTGCCGTTCTGCGATTCATAGGAGACTTCAAAGCTGTCTGGCTACCATTTAGATCATACACACTGCTTTTCTTTTCCTCTTCCCTAAGCAACAGAGGTAAAACTCTGTTGGGAACCACAATGTACTTGGCAGGCAGCAGTTTTTAACCCACTGATGGGCAACAGGTGTGAGGGAGAAATCCCAGCTTGACAATGGTTGGTACTGCAATTGCACTCTTATAATCATATGTCACTTTGAAGCTGATGCAGGTCATAGCCACTGCTCAAAGGAGCTTTTTCATTTCCCTCCTTTTCATTTAGCTGAGGTCCAGGATAACACCTAAACACTAAAACACATAGCTGCATAGCACATTCTGGGAAGTGCAAGCCAAAGAGAGAGAGAGAGAAATTGGCACACCTCCACTGAACCGAGATTGGCTGTGCGGAGGAAACCCTGTTTGTAAAATGTCAGCAACATTGTCTAGTCTTCCCTGATGTCCAGATGGTTTGTATTACAATTTCTCTTAGATCCATCAACAAGAACGATGGAACTTGTATTCTGTATTCACACATTCATTTCCTACCTTCTTCTCACAAATGGGGCTCAAGATGGCATACAGTTAACTAGGGCAAATACATTGAAAACATATAAGGAATCCAAGTATATATGCTTTCTCTTGATACCCCTCCCCTGCATCTGGCATTTGGAGGTACCTTCCTTTTAAACCTGGAGAGTATACATCCCCATCATGGCTTGTAACCTGTGATGGACTTTTCCTCCAGGAATCTGTCCAGTCCCCTTTTAAAGAAATCTAGGCCAGATGACATCACCACATCCTGTGGCATGGAGTTCCACAGACTACCAACATGCTGGGTAAAGAAATATTTTCTTTTCTCTGTTCTCACTCTCCCAACATTATGCATTAATTTACATTTTCTTATATTGAAATGCATTTGCCATTTTGCCACCAATTCTCCCAGTTTGGAGAGATCCTTCTGGAGCCTTTCCCTCAGCAAGGCTTGTTCTTCTCTGTGTTTTAAGATTTTATCTTGGATGAGGCTTTCCTCGATCTTCCCTGAAACACACATTAGGCTAACCATCCCATAGTTTCCTGGGTTCTCCCTCCTTCCCTTTTTAAAGATTGGCATGACATGCTATCCTCCAGTCCTCTGGCACTGTGACTGTTTTAAGGGACAAGTTCTATATTTTAGTTAAGAGATCAGCAACTTCATTCTTTTGTCCTTAATAACCCTTGGGTGGATGCCATCTGGCCTGGTGATCTTCAGTTTATCAATTAGGTCTAAAGCATCCTCTCTTTTAACCTGTATCTGATTTAACTTATTAAATTTAACTTATTAAACGGGGGTGGGGCTGTTCGGGCAGCGGAATCTGCCTAAGGTCTTCTGTCGTGTAGATAGATGTGAAGAACTCATTGAATCTCTCTGCAGTCTCCAAGTTCCCCTTTACCTCCCTCACAATCCAGAGGGCCAGCCACTTCTCTGGCAGGTTTCCTGCTTCTAACATATTTAAAGAAGCTTTTATTATTCCCCTTTATATTGCTGGCCATACGTTCCTCAGAGTTTTTCTTTGCCTTCGTATCATCTTCTTATATTTCTTTTGCCAGCGTTTGTGTTCCTTTTTATTTTCCTCATTTGGGAAGGATTTCAATTTATGGAAGGACCCCTCCTTGCCCTTTAAAGCCTCTCGAACTCTGCTCGTTAACTACGCCGACACTCTCTTGGACTTAGTTGCGTCCTTCTTTCTTAGTGGCATATACTTCCGCTGGGCCTCTACTACCGTTGATTTAAACAGGTTCCATGCACTCTGAAGAGAATGGATTCTTTTTACTTTCCATTTCAACTTCATTCTAATGAGTTTCCTCATCTAAGGGAAATCAAGGCTTTTTGTGTCAGATTTCCTTGACACTCTCTCCCCAACATGCATGGCAAAAGAGATCACAGCATGGTCACTATTCCCTAGCGGCTCAGTGACATTCAAGTCCCTAACCAGGTCCTGAGTACCACACAATATTAAATCCAGAGTCCCCTGTCCTCTGGTGGGCTCCATGACAAGTTGTTCCAAGGCACAGTCATTTAGCATGTCAAGAAACCTGGTCTCTCTTTCTTGACCTAAGCACGTATTGACCCAGTCTATGTGAGGATAATTGAAGCCCTCCACAATTACAATCCTCTCCCTCTTGGATTCCCCCTCAAGTTTTTTTTATCTGGAGGGCGATAGCCCCCCCCCCCCCCCCCATTATCACAGCAGTCCTTGGGCTTGCTAGTTTAACCCACAGTGATTCTATGATGGAATCAAACCTGCTATCCATCTCCATTCTGTTGGATTCTACCCCTTCTTTGACATAGATGGCCACCCCACCTGCAACATGCCTCTCCCTATCCCTCCTGTAGAGTTTATAGCCTGGGATTGCAGTTTCCCACTGGTTTTCTGAATTCCTCTAGGTTTCCATTATGGCCACTATATCAATGTTATCGTTAGCCACCAAGTGTTCCAGCTCTCTCATCTTTGCTCGGACACTTCAGGCATTTGCATAAAAGCATCTGCGTACGGGGTTTCCCCAAGAAGGGCTGCTTGTTGGTTCTTCTTCTTCTTCTTGGTCGTCTTCTTCTTCTTCTTCGTCTTCTTCTTCTTCTTCTTCTTCTTCTACTACTACTACTACTACTGGTTCTTATTTCAGTAGACCAACTATCACGTCCTATCACACTCCCAATCCTAATTCCTACACTGTCATCGCTTCGTGGTTCTCTACCCTCTCCATCCTCATTCCACAGGGATGAGAAGTCCCGAATCGGATGCCCCTCAGCTCCTGTTGGCTTTGCCCCAGAATTCAGTTTAAAAGCGGTTCTGCCACCTTTTCAATATTGTGCGCCCGCAGTCTGGTTCCATGTTTGTTCAAGTGAAGCCCATCCCTATTGTACAGGCCCGGCTTGTCCCAAAATGTTCCCCAATGCCTAATGAATCTAAACCCCTCCCATCTCATCCACACATTGAGACCCCTGAGCTCCGCCTGCCTAGCTGGCCCTGTGTGTGGAATAGGTAGCACTTCCGAGAATGCTACCTTTGAGATCCTGGCTTTGAGCTTCCTCCCTAAAAAAACTAAATTTGGCCTCCATGCAAGGGGAAAAAAACCCACCCTGTTAAAATCCCTTCTGCAGCAAGCAGGCTCAATCACTAAAAGCCTGACTGAAATTGAGAAAAGTCTTTGGTTGCTCTTGGAAAGACAAGAGGGAAGCGCCTTCCTTGCCTTGCTTCCTAGTGGAAGCAAAATCCAGAGCCCAAGACTCTGTCGTCCCAACATCTGGAGGCTGCCATGTTCAGAAACAGTTCTTCGGTCGCTGAATTTCTTTCCCTTTTCTGTGTTGATGCCGTAGGTAGCAAGTGGTCTCCCTAGAATTTGAGGGTGGGGTGTTCCCCTGCTCAGACCACATATCTCTTCCATTGCACTTGAAGGAAAAATAAGTCGTGAAGTAACAGTGAATAGCTTAGGACAGGGCCACTTCCATTTCTTATTTTTATGCTCAATAATCTATGAATTCATTTAATGCCACTCTAATTATTTTAATTCTTGGTGGGAAAGATCCTGTATTACATGATGTGCCAAAGTTTAGTATAAAAATATTGAAGCTTGCAACTCAGTTTCGTGGGAGGAGCTCCAACTGAAAGGGCCACAGATGGCTTGTTATGGGGGCAGGCGCCCCCATAACCGAAATGTTGAGGGGAGGCCAACCCCTGGCCCGGAAGCTCTTTCTCAAAAGGGCCTGTGTAAGACTGCACTGTTGCTGTTGTGGTTTGGGGTTCTAAAGACCACTTTAGCTTTTAAACAGACATATTATTTGAAAGTTAAATTTAAAAAAAACAAATCTGTTCCTACATGAATGACAGAACTGAACTGAGTGTGCTTTGAAGCTCCTAATGGGATAAAAAAAAAACGTTGCTAGCCCCTGCAATCAAAGATTACTTCCACTGGCAATTATTACAGTATATTGTTCCTGTTCCTATAACATGCAGTTTGATTCTTTGGAACTGTTTTCCGTAAGCTGCTGGGTAAATATGCAGTTCTGTTACTAATGAATACTAATGGATAAGCATGTTTGAAGGTGCTCTCTTAAATGCCAAAATCAACAGTGTTGCTAGCTTCACACATTACTCCCTGCTGGGTGTTCTTAGATTTCTACAGGCTCTTACTGTTCCTTCATTTCATAAGGAAACAGCCAATATAGCAAATAAAAGGTAGGTTTCTAAAATGATTAGACAGGAACAATGCCAGGTTTATTCCTGTGATGTGGCTCACAGGTTATGTTTTTTCTCTCACACTATAATAAGAATAGTAATTATGTGTTGTCAATGCCAATTTATGGCATTTTTTTCCAGGTAGAGAATACTCAGAATTTATTTGCCATTGCCTTTTTCTGGTGGGGGGGGGTCACCCTGGGACTATGAGGCTGGACCAAGGCTACAAAGGCTGGCTCTTCTCCCAGGAGCCACAGTGGGGAACCAAATTCCCAAGATACTTAACTCACTGACCTATCCAACCAGTATATTTTATAGAATTTTTCCCCAACATGATTCCTTTGATTTTGCTCTGGGCATTTTAAATTTACATTTTTTAAAAAATAAATGTTCATACTTTGCTATGCTCTTCTTTTTTTTTCCAAAGTAATAATTTAAAATTTCAAATTAATTTTAACAAGAACAACCAATCAAAATGTAAGCCTTTTTTTTAAAAAAAAAGGAAATACAGTTTCTCAGTGAGAGAATTAACAAGAGGAGATTGGAGTGTGTGGATAGGAGGAAAGAGGACAACAAGACACAGTGTTTTCTTGGTTTTCTGACAACGGCTGCCCAATGTTTGTGTTTCCTCAGATTGCTAGGTTTGACGTGGATGGCTTATTTTGCAACATCGAATCTGTCCATCAAATATCAACCAAACTGCTGTCACTGCTGGAAGAAGCAACAGAGGATGTGGAACCAGCCATGCAAGTAATCGGTATGTTCACTAGCTGCTTTGAGCTCTACGAAGCTGTACGGAATAATGATAATGGTAATAAAACTCCCATTTGCTCTGGGCCTGGCCCACACCTTAATTCCAGGCTGCCATTTCTTTTAGTAAATGAATGTAAGATGGAGAATAAATGATTAGCTATAAGCAGAGCCTGGATTATAATGGCAGTGCCAGCCACAATGTGCGGAAGGTAAGATGAATAAATGGGGATTGAAGACTTCTGTATCCTGAGCTTGGAAAAGTTAGGGCTTTTTGATTAGCACTTCTAGAATCTTTTTGCTGTTGGCCTTCTTGGCTAGGACACTCTGGGTTTTAGAGTATTTCTTTCCAAGCTGTGACCGGAGCCAGCTTTACCATTAGCCTAACCACCACATGTGGTAGCCTGCACAAGAGCAGTGAATGCCTTGCCACCATGGACTCCAGACTCCCCGTCCCTCTAGAGAGAGGCCCGGCTAGGACACTCTGGGTTTTAGAGTATTTTTTTCCAAGCTGTGACCGGAGCCAGCTTTGCCATTAGCCTGAACAAGCTAACCACCTCATGTGGTAGCCTGCACAATAGCAGTGAATGCATTGCCATCATGGACTCCAGACTCCCCGTCCCTCCAGAGAGAGGCCGCTGCTCATCAGAGGAGGGTGTTTTCCAGGTGCCAACCTCTGATGACCTCTGACAGCAAAGCGTTTAGTATAAGGCTCTCCAAGAGATTGCTTGTGCTGTGCAGGGAAATCTCTTGTGTGCCTTGGCACAGGCAATTTCTCTGGACAGTTCACTCATGATGATCCTGAGACATCCTCAGAGTCTGGCAGTGAAAGAGGCCGCTGCTCATCAGAGGAGGGTGTTTTCCAGGTGCCAACCTCTGATGACCTCTGACAGCAAAGCGTTTAGTATAAGGCTCTCCAAGAGATTGCTTGTGCTGTGCAGGGAAATCTCTTGTGTGCCTTGGCACAGGCAATTTCTCTGGACAGTTCACTCATGATGATCCTGAGACATCCTTAGAGCCTGGCAGTGAATTACCATATTTTCTGTGTATAAGACTATACTTTTGTCTAAAATCTTTAGACTAAAAATTGAGGGTCGTCTTATACACGGAAATAAGCTGAGGAGAGAACAAAAACAAGTGGAGGGGAAAGCAGGGATCAAAGCTATTCTGCAGCACTTTGATCCCTTTCCCCCCACTCTTGGTAAGCCCCACTTAGATTTCTTAATTTTGGATTAGAAAAGTGGGGGCGTCTTATACATGGGGGCGTCTTATGCACAGAAAAATATAGTAGTTAGTTAGCCTCTGCAGAGATATTGCCAGACACATGATTCAGGGATTCGGAGGAGTGTTGACCATGGTGATTGGGGGTTGGGGCAGAGAGATCTGTGGTTGGTGAGGAGAGGATGCTAGGCAGAAAGAAGGAAGCAGTGAGTGTGGGAGTCAGGGATCCAAGACATCTCTTCCCTCGCTTTGGCTGTTCCCCTTCTCCTCAGATGACATCGTAGAAAGCAGCGATGGAGAAAGTGTATCCCACCAAATTTTGTTCAACTGCATCTCCCATCCTTCCTCACCATTGACTATGCTAGCTAGGGCTGGTGGAAGTTGTAGTCTAACAGCACCCAGAGGGCCACCAGTTTGCCAATCCTGATAATAGGGAGATTGTCTAGATGTTTTCTGTCTGCATGCATCTCAGTTAGTGTGAGAGAAGGAACAACCAGTCAGGCTTAAGGACCTCGCTCTTCTGCCCCCTGTAGCCCTCTTTCCGCAGCAGCTCCACATCAGTGGCCAGAATCCTACTGGGGATTTCGGCTGGGAGACATAATTGTAATTGTTTAAATTAAGGGAGACAAGTTGCCATGGATTAACCAAGTGCTGCTTACATTCCTTGTTGTGCACAAGTTGTGACCTCACACCAGGGGAAATTTGCAATAGGATCTCAGCATTGTGTAACATATCTGCCCATCCTCTTTTAAATACTAGGTTTGTTTATTTTTTCACCTTGCACGGCATCATCCTTTCCTCCTCACTCTCTCCCTTCACGTTTTCTCAGCTTAACTTCTAGCCTGATTAAGAGTTTCTATGAACTCAAAGGCTTGACTTCTTTGTGACCTTTTAGCCGTACCTCATGAAGGCATGACCCTACAGTTTGTTTTTCAGTTACGTTACATGGATACAAGCACATGCTGAAAATCAAAAGCTGATCCCCCCCCATCAAAGCACATGACTACCTCTGTTATCATCTTATCTCTGTGTCCTTTCCTAGACTGAATCACACGGAAATATTGGCATAAGGCTGTCACAAGGGCAGATTAGCTAGGGGCTGGAAAGGGGTCGGCATAGCTTCTGAGCTAGGTGAATGTAGAAAGGTCTATAAGGGGAACCTGGTTCAGTCCAGAATCCAGGCAATAATCATAAAAATGCAGAGCTGGAAGGGACCTTATGGATCATCAAGTCCAGTCCCTTTCGGAGAGGCACAATGGGGAATCGAACTCTCAATCTCTGGCTCTAACAGCTAGAGGCCTAAACCACTGAGCTATGTAACAGTCCAGTAGGTTGCCCCCAGTTGATGCCCTTATGGGCTCTTTCTACAGTCCTTTGCTCTCCACAGTTCCTGTCTATTTTGTATGCATACCAAAGAGGCAGGTGTTCCACAAGCATAACATATATTGAAACACCCTCAACCTGAGCCAGGGAAATCTGATGCCAGCTGGGAACGGGGGCAGATGGATGGCCATTCCTGAATCCATCTTTCATACAAAAATTCAACTTACTCTTCCTTCTGTGCGGCTTGCCCTGAGATTTGTCTCCTTGCCTTGACATGGGAGGGGGGAGGGGGCACAGCAGTTCCCTGAGGCGTTGACACATGGTTACCCTCTCTTTTTAAAAAGAGTTTTATTTTTAACAAAAATATAAACAAGAACAATCATATAAACATCCATTTAACAAACATCTGCTAAACATAGAGCTTTCCCACCAGCACTGGGTCCAATTTTGGAAGTTGCCACCATTTGCCTCCACAAAGCCCTCCCTTCCCCTTCCAAAACAATAATGACTCTTGTTTCCCCCCCAATTCCTAGTTATAATCAATTTTGTCACTGTTAGCAAGTTGAGAAGCAACTCTTTAGTTATCTGATTCCATTCCTCCTTTTCAAATACTTGAGAACATACTGATAAATTAAATTTACTTGTATTTAATTTACTTCCTTAAAGAACAATTGCCAAGATCTTGCTGTAGTCTTGCATTCCCAACCATATATGAAAATAAGTACCTGATTTTTGGCATAATCTCCAGAATATCTTAGAATAACTGACATTCATTAATATTTTGTAAATGTTATTGTCCCTTTCATTATCTTCTCCTGCATTTTTCTTTTGCAATACAGTCTCCTCAAATTTCATAAATTCCATGCATTTACCCTTTCTTTTAACCCAATCTGTTCATTACTCTAATTAAAAAATGTCATACCAAGATATTTTAACTATTCCTGTCACGTCTTTTATTTACTCTTTATTCCCCATTTTTTCCAAACAAACTTTTATTTTAATAACTTCTCTCTTTCTTAAGAGATTCTCAATCCATCCTTTTAAATGTTCTGGCACCTCCTCCAGCTCTAACTATCACATATAATGCCGAAACTGATGAAAGAAATATTTTTCTATAACTGTTCCTAATTAAAAGCATATTTTTAAAGAATGGATTCTCTATATGTTTACTATATTTTGATTGTCTTGTCCAAAAAGAATATTTACGTAGGTCAAATGTGAGTCTTGCATTTCCTTATTCAGCGAAATTAGTTTATTAAGCTGAATAAAGAATAAGCTATAATATTTGCATATGTCTTAACTGACTGGCTATTTAGTATAACCATAAAGGTGAAGTCCCAGCCGTCCAGCTGTAGCTGGTAACCCTCTCCAACAGCAAGAAATCCATGTCTTTTGGGTAATGACATTACAGTTGCTTGTTGAGACAGACTTCTACAACATGCAGGGAGTCTGACCTGTTGCTGGTGGTGATTGTTTTTGTTTTGGGGGGGAGGCTGGCCTTAAAGACAAAGGAAGTGATGTGAGTTCCTGAGACACGAGAGAGCTCTCTCTTTGCATTTCAGAAGTACAAAGGATGTGGCCCCATACTCATATGCATGCCATCTTTAATGAAAAGTGGGCATTTAGTTGCTTTTCAGTTTTGTTCTCTCTGTGATGGGCATTCATCTTAGTCCTGAGGCAGAAAGGAACATCAGAGGATGATTTTTTAAAAAATTATTCTATTTTTGTCCCCTAATTAGACTGAGGCCTAAGGAAATGCATATACTGTAGAGATGTGCTGCTGAAAGTTGTGCTCTTTGCCAGACGATGTGTAGCTGATATATAATCTGAAGCCAAGTTTAATATTACAGTATTAGGCTGCAATAACTCCAGTGTACACCTGACAAGAAACAGTTGCATTCTGTCAGGAAAGTCCATTCACAGAGCCAAATAATATGTCGTCCGTCCGTCCGTCCGTCCGTCCGTCCGTCCGTCCGTCCGTCCGTCCGTCCGTCCGTCCGTCCGTCCGTCCGTCCGTCCGTCCGTCCGTCCGTCCGTCCGTCCGTCCGTCCGTCCGTCCGTCCGTCCGTCCGTCCGTCCGTCCGTCCGTCCGTCCGTCCTTCCTTCCTTCCTTCCTTCCTTCCTTCCTTCCTTCCTTCCTTCCTTCCTTCCTTCCACTTTCTCCTGTGACTTCGACGGCAACCTCACATGCAGAAATTAAAACAGGCATTTTCTGTGTGTTGAATATTGGAGGGGAAAAAGGGAAAGTACGTTTACCTCAGAGAAGCAAAGAGGAAGTACACACATTTGTCCTCTTTTTCAACTCCTCAAACTACACAAAAAGAAGAGAAGTTTCAAAGTCTCTAGAGGTGTGGGAAGAGGAAGCAGTGTAAATATTTCAACATAGTGTAATCCACAATTTCCTGATAGAAACGTTCTAAAGAGTGAAATGTCTCTGTGCATGTGTGCACACATGCAGCTGCCATAGCATCTGTTCTCTTGGTATAGCAGTTACATTGTCAGATTGTATAAATATGAAAAGAACAGAAATTCCCCCCAGGAAAGATAAAATAGACTAGTCTTTCATACTGGCCAGTAAAATATACTGACCTTTCCCCCACGAAAGGTAAAACATACTGGCCCTGTTAATAAATTGCAACTCATATTGTCTTAATATTTTGTTACTCAAACAAAATAAGATAATTTATTGTCATGAGATCAATATTAAAACAATAACAAGTCAATAATAATACTGATGATAATAAAATGGTAGCAATAAAAATATGAACAGAAAGCAGTACAAAGCTAAAACCTTGCAACAGATAGCAGAGGACATTAGAGATTTTAAAACATTAATTAATTAGAAGTTAATAGAGATGCACATTTTGATTTTTTTTGGACTACAAATCCCATAATTCCTATTTCTTCTTAGATAGACCTAACTTTCAAGGCATGAAGCCTGCCAGCTGGGCTTCTCTTCAGGTGAGCACAATGCAGGTGTCTGTAAGTTTGGGTTCTACAGGTGTAGCTCCCCGGGGAGGGGAAAATATTTATAGTCCAAAAAATCAAAAATGCACAACCCTAGACATTTTTGAACTTTCCATATCATGGCGGAGGAGGGAGAGAAGAGGGCAGTGGTTTACAGTGTTCCCCAACCTTGGGCCTCCAGATGTTCTTGGGCTACAACTCCCAGAAGCCTTCACCATCACCTCTGCGGGCCAGGATTTCTGGGAGTTGAAGTCCGAGAACATCTCGAAGCCCAAGGTTGGGGACCGTTCGTTTAGATAAAACTTGCATATGCTAATTTATATATAGTTAAAAACAACTTATCTGCTGGATGCCTGTCCATTGAATCACTTATCCACTGCCTGAAAATACAAAATTAAAAAACCTACGTATTTCCAGGGTATATTTACCAGAAGTAGAGGGGCCCAGAGACCATGCAATGTATAGTGTTCAATACTTCTGCATTTTTTTGCATCTGGGGATGGGGTGGGCTTGGGCTTGATACCACAGTTCCACTGTATTTACATATAAATTTAGAAATCATTCATTTAAATCGAAATAATCTCATTATGATACGGAACACCATGATCTAGGAACTCATGTTCTTGATCAGTTTTCTGCCAAGGTGATAATTTTGATGGCCCTTTTTGCTCTCCTTATTTTCCCTAAACTGGACTTAGGCTGGATAATGCTTTAATTAGGCTCTCGACTCTAAACAGAGAACCAATCTCTGTAAGGTAGGACACACACACACATCCCGCAAAATAGGGGGCACAGTTTCTTGGAAAGGTCTCCAACACCATCAGCACCTCTACCATCTTGAAGGCACTGCCTGGTAGGTCTGCTCACTTCGTCTCATGAATATGTAGAGGATAGAGAAGGAGAGAGCAGGGTTCCCAAGGCCGGACTTGCAAGCTAGGCAAATTCATCTTTTTAAAGTGGACAGGAAATTATCTGATGGTACTCTGGCTTTTCTTTTTTGCTTTGTGCTTTAACAGGGCAAGTGTTTTTGCAGATTAAAGACCTACTAGAAGATGCATATAAAATCTACTGCTACCACCATGATGATGCCCATGTCCTACTGGAATCCTATGAAAAGGATGAAGAACTGAAACAAGAGATAAGAGAATGCCTACAGTCCTTAAAGTAAGAACCTTTCAAACTAATCTTTCTGTCGCTTATTCATGGCGTGGCATGGGAATGCTAAAACGCCTGTAAATGAAATATCTCCTATAAATCCAGAATTTTATGAGTTCACAAGGAGTGCGTAATTCTCCTGCTTTCCTGGAAGCACAAATACATTTCTCCGTCATTAGACTGAAAGAGGAACAAAATCTACAAGATGCCATCAAGCAGGCTTCCTGGAGAGGTGGTTTCAGGAAAGAGCTGTCTTAAACCAAAAGTATTCCATCTTTTTAATGCCCCCAATCAATCGGAAACTAATTGAAATAATAAAAATTCTTAATCCCTATTTTGTACTTCGCTATAGTGGAAATTTCTGGTCTTCCTAAATCTATTTCATTGTGATTTTTTTCTTAATGTATTGCCTAGAGGGGTGGGGAGCTTCTGGGCTGGGCTTGTCTACACTTTTTCTTGGGAATGTATTCTTATTAGCACATTCCCTTGTTATTCTGGTTCTAAAAGAAACCCAAGAATGCAATTGACTAAGCATTCGGTGGGCTTTGTGGCTTGAAGTTAGCACTCTTTGTCACTAAACATGTACTTCCAGTTTATTAGTGCCATGAGAAGAACCTTTAGCTAGCATTAAGCTGGTTACCCTCCCCCAAAGAATGCTAACAATTCTGAATTTCTTTCTCTTGGCAGGAAGATATATGAAGGAGGGTAAGTATCATATTTCTTTTTATTTTCATGATTCCGCCCCCCCCCCATTCTTCATCTAAAGAATATTGAGCTGCATATGGCATCCACCCCTAAAAACCCTATGATGTAGATTGGCTCGAGAAAGCTTGCCCAATTTGACCATGAACACCAAATGACCTTCAGCAAAGCAAAGCAATCAACCTGTTGCTGTAGACAGAAGTACAGACGTAAATCTATACATAGTGTAGTGATTTGCATACTTTTAACACTCCCCCCACAAACTGATAACCGACAGTTCTGGATCCATAGGTTTTATTTAAAAAAAAAAAGATAAGGTCAAAAAAATTGTAGCAGTTTCCCCTTGGCGCAGTGATTAAACTGCAGTACTGCAGTGAAGACTCCGCTCACAACCTGAGTTCAATCCTGGACTCACGAAGCTGCCTCAAACCTTCTATCCTGGCTTGAGGGGAAGGGCAATGTGTGGCTTCACAATTAAACATATAAGGTCAAAAAAATTGTAGCAGTTTCCTCTTGGCGCAGTGATTAAACTACAGTACTGCAGTGAAGACTCCGCTCACAACCTGAGTTCAATCCTGGACTCACGAAGCTGCCTCAAACCTTCTATCCTGGCTTGAGGGGAAGGGCAATGTGTGGCTTCACAATTAAACATTGTAAACCACCCAGAGGGTGCTTTAATTGCTATGAGGCGGCATAAAAGCAGGACATTTTGCTTGACTTCATCAAACTGATATTCAGTTAAGGGAATTGGTTGTATTGCCAGACTAATATCCTGGTGATCAACATTAAAATAAACCAAAAAATGGAATAAATGGGCATTCCTGGGGCCGAGGTATTTAACTCGCCAAATTTTAAAATCCAACAAAGATCAAGAGATTGCCAGTGAAGGTTGTGCTTGCAGAAAGAATAGAAAACCTGTGCTTTCCGATGTATAAAAGAGAACTTGTGCCTCGGTTTGTCTGTGCATGCGAAAGAGAGAAGCTAGCACAGATGTGCTGCAAATTGCCTTTGCTGCATTGCCACAAATTAATGTGCACTTATTAGCTTCAAAAATAGATGCCATAAAGTGGGAGTTGCTCTCAGAATGTAAATTGGTCAGTAATTCATAACAAAATTGCTTTTTCAGAGGCCAGTTTCTGGAGGGCTCTGTGGTGACAGAATAAGGAGATGGGTGAAACCTTCCAGGCACAATAACAGCTTATCTTCCCCGCATCCCCCTGCCGCTGCCGCTGACCTTATTTCTGGTGGAAATCCTAATGAGCAATTTCAGCCTGTGGATTTCCTGTACTGGAAACACCTGTCTGGAACACAGTTCACAGTAACCCTTTCTCTCAGCTCTGCGCTGAGCTCCTAACTCATAGCAAAGAGGTGATGTTGTTGATTGCCAGGATAAATTCCTCCATGGAATTCCACAAATAATTTTGACGGCCACACAGACACACACATGCACATACACACAAACAGCAGCAACAAAATCAGAATGCTTCTGAGGATGGTTTTTACGTTTGAGTCAAAACAGGAAAAATATATCATGCTCTATTACGAGGCAGCAGCGCCCCCAAGCTGTCAAGCTAAGTCAGCTGCTGAATTCTAGGCCTTAACAACTCAGAATGCTACAGGGCTGAATTTACTGCATGCTTAGGTACCCTGCAGCATTTCTCGCCAGCTAGATTTCCACCCCCCCACCCTAAACTAACATTATGTGCTAAGGAGATCTCTGTTTTCCACCATCAAATTTTCCTTTAGAATTTTAAAAGGGAAAGAATGCATGGGAGCTTAATTCTTTGGACTAGAGATCCCAGAATTCCCCAGTTAGTGCTGTGGGCTTCAGAGACTGTAGTACATTAAAGCAAATTTCCCTAGTTCTGCTTCTCATATAACACAGAAGCAATAACTGTGTCCCACATTGCAAAGGGTGTCAAATGAAAGTAACTTACAGTATTTAGAATGAAAGGTAGAAAATACTTGGTCTGTTGACTGCATTTTTTTCTCCTGCCAGTCATACATTTCCCTGTCAAGACCTAGTTCCATCTCTAGATAGACATGTGCGAATGACATGTCAAAACATTCAATTAACAGGCCAGTTTTTTCTAGCTTTATTCTATTTCGGCGGTGGTGGGTAATCCTATAGTTCTGTACAGTGGTGCCTCGCAAGATGATTTTAATTCATTCCATGAAAATTGTCATCTTGTGAAAAAATCGTCTTGCGAGGTTCCCTATGCATCGGTCTCAAAAAATCCCACATCTTGTGAAGCATCGGTCCAAAAAAAAGTCTTGTGAAGCATCTGTCTTTCTCGGTCTAAAAAAAAGTCTTGCGAAGCATCTGTCTTTAAAAAAAGTCTTGCGAAGCATAGTCATAAAAAAAAAGTCTTGCAAGGCACCATAGTGATTGCAAAACCCAATCATCTTGCGGGTTTTCGTCCCGCGAGGCAATCGTCTAGCAAGGCACCACTGAATTTATATTGCTACATCTACCTGGGAGCCAATGTGATGAAATGGGCAGAATTTCAAATGAGTTGTCATGACAGCTGAATTCAAATCCCCACTGGGTAATGGAAACACTGAGGAGTGGCACTGGTAAACCACTCCTTTAACATCTCACATTCCCTTCCCACCGATACAGTAAGGTCTTCATCAGTCAGAAGCTGTTTGGTAGTATATAACAAGCACATATAATAATATGTCTCTCCCCTTGCATGTTATGAAAGAATCTCCCAGAACAGAAACCAGTAGTCAGAAGTTATTTGTACTATATCAACCTTGTAAATAAGCCTACAAAATATACTTGTCTGCAAAACGATGATCTGTAGAGTCTCTTCCAGCTATGCAGTTACTATTATTATTAAAACAATTAGCCAAATGGAACTAATAAGAGATAAGTTGTTTCCTCCTCCTACAACATTCTGCATTTCTGAGGAGGGGTATGTCCCTGTCTGGTAGCTTGTTTTATATTTATACTGGTCACATAAGAGATATACTGTAGCCAGTCCCTTTTCTGCCTGCCTGCTTGCAGTTCCTTATTGCCTAGGGTTATCACAGAACTCCTTAATTACAAGCTTAGCCTTCATACTGACATGCTACTTTTCTAAGCCCAGGATTTTGTTTTTCAGCTAAGAGAACCTTCAGACGTGCTGTTCTCCCTTTGCAGTATGCTGTGGCACTCAACAGTTTGAGAGTATGGGGCATTGTACGTTGATTGTTTATATAGAACAGGGATGCACATCCTGTGCCTCCAGAACCATAGCCTTTCCCCCACTTTTCTCAAATAACATCTGATCAACTAGGTGGCGAAGGAAAGTCTCCCATTGTTCCAGAAGTGATGTGTGCAGCAAATGGACAGAAAAGCTAGTCAGGAGCAGTGATCTAGGCGAAGGGAAAGTTTGTCAAGAAAAAGAAGGGTTGTGTTGCAGTGGTTCCCAACCTTGGGTCCCCAGATATTCTTAGACTATAACTCCCAGAAATCCTGGCCAGCACAGCTGATGGTGAAGTCTTCTGGGAGTTTTAGTCCAAGAACATCTGGAGACCCAAGGCTGAGAATCATTGGCTTAAAGTAATCCTTCATGTTAAAAGGCTCTTATTTGGTAACAGATGAAAGATCCTGAAAATGACAGAAAAAGCCTTTTTGCAAGTGTTTTCCTTTCATTTTTAAATGGAATTCCTATCCCTGTTTGTTATCTCTGTACTTGATGAGCCCAAACGTCTGTAGCACCTGTTTCTCTTGCAGTCCCGTCCCTATGTCCATGGCTTTTTGGTGCATTATGTCAACATTGTGCAAACGCAATGTATATAACACTTTACGTTGAGCACCGGAATCCTAGTGGTATCTAGATATGGATGGTGATACATGCCAAAATTTAAAATCACCGCACACACAGAAGTTAAAATTTCTCATTCTTTGGCACCGCTTGCCCTGAGATTCATTTCCTTACCTTGGAGATCCAGGGAAGCCTAGTGGTCCCTTGAAACTTCAGACTTGGCAACACTCCCACTTCCCAACATGATAGTTCCAATCACTGTGATCCTGAACTGGATCCAACTTCCTCCATTTGTAGAGAATGCAAACAGGGATGTTGCAAAAGAGGTATCCTGCCAATTTGCGGTATAACTTGCAAACGTACATGGTACAATCTGAACTTTACAATCGGCTTTGTCCCTTGGTCTAGAATACAAGCACAGGAACATGTTTGTGGACTGAACATGCTGAGTTATATAAAGAGAGGTCTTCAAAGGTACTCCTAGGAGCAGGATTTTCCCATGGACTGACCATTTTTACCACATATCATTATTCTACATTGTGTCCTGCCCTTCCTGCAAACTGCAACATACATGGCGTTACGCTGTTTTACAATTGTACACACTCAGGAGAGGCAGGAAATGAAGAGAGGAATATGTTGTTATTCCATGTACGGCTTCATTCTGTTGCTTGCCATCTGCAGAGGGAATGGGATGCAGTTAAAATTTAGCCAGATGCGTTAATTTGAGCATAAAGGAGCAGCAGTGATTTGCGACGAGATTAGCATTGCTACTTCTAGCCTTAGAAATGTGACGGGATTCATGTGAAGACGCTGCAGCTTGCAGAAGCATTGCCAATGAATTACCAACTTAATTTAATGCCCAATGGATGTCACAAGTTGTTACACATCTATTTTAACCTTTGCGGAGAGATTGTTCTCTCTCTTTCTCTCTCTCTCTTCTAGGTATAATGCTAAGAGACGCATATTAAAATCGCAAGTAATCTAGGGAGAGTGGTTAGCACTGGATAATCTGACTGGGCAGAATTAGATGGTCTGAACCTGATAGCATTTAATGTCCCAGGGAATCATTATCTCATGGCAAACCTACTATCTTTCAACTGAGATTGCTAGATTGTGTTGTGCAGAAATGGAAGCAGATGAGCTGCTCATCACTTGGGCAGCTATCCAAAGAGCAATTGTGGAAGCAAAGACAATCGGCATCTACATCACCCCCATTAAGGATTAGGATGCATTGCGGAGGGAGTGTGTAGAAAACAATAACAGTTTCAATTTTGGTTGTTCTGGGTTTTCTGGGTTTTTTGAAGATGCCAGCCACAGAGACTGGTGAAACGTCAGGAAGAACAACCTTCAGACCACAGCCAAAGAGCCCGAAAAACCCAGAACAACCATTAGATCCCGGCCGTGAAAGCCTTCCCGAATATAGTTTCAATTTTTTTTTTTTTTTAATGTTGTGGAGCACAAAGAGAGTTCTATATTTGTGGGAGTATTGAGTTTTGGAGACAGGAAAAGTCTGTTTGTCATCTCATGAAATCTATACTAGCTCACCAATGAGCCCATGACATTTTATATATATATGTATAATGTGTCTCTCTCTCTCTCTCTCTCTCTCTCTCTCTCTCTCTCTCTCTCTCTCTCTCTGTGTGTGTGTGTGTGTGTGCATGCATGTGTACACACAGAGAGAGCTAGTGAGAGGGAGGGAGGGGGAGAGAGAGAAAGAGCAATTAACTTGGAGAAATGAGCCAAGCTACAAATTATGCATTATGTGAGAAGCACACAAATACTCTCTCAGGGGTTAAGTATGTAGGGAAGTACAAAAACTTTCTGTTATTAATTTTTTAAAGCTGTAGCTGTCTTAGTTTGTTTTAGCACATTTTAACAAATAAATAAACCTGAAAGTACAAAAACGAAGTATTGAGGTACCTTTAAGTAACAGAGTGATTATAGTATATGGGTTATACTTCACTTCTGCAGGCATTATAACCTATGAAAGCTCGAATTAAATCTGACCAGTTAGGGACACTGGGTTTTTTGAAGATGCCAGCCACAGAGACTGGTGAAACGTCAGGAAGAACAACCTTCAGACCACAGCCAAAGAGCCCGAAAAACCCAGAACAACCATTAGATCCCGGCCGTGAAAGCCTTCCCGAATATAGTTTCAATTTTTTTATTTTTATTTTTTAATGTTGTGGAGCACAAAGAGAGTTCTATATTTGTGGGAGTATTGAGTTTTGGAGACAGGAAAAGTCTGTTTGTCATCAAACGCTGGCTCTACGGGTTGGAGACGGGGATGAGCACTGCGCCCCAGAGTCTGGCACAACTGGACTAAATGTCAAGGGAAACCTTTACCTAGCTATACGTACCTCATTATAATACTGACATAATTCCCTATCTGTCTCAGAAAGTCGAGCAGGAAGGAGAGTCAAGGTCCTAATGTGAGGGACCGGGCTTCAGCTGAGTGACAGAGCAGTGCTTTTGCATTTAGAAGTCCCTCAAGTCAGCACTCTAAGTACACAAAATCAAATAGCAGGTAGATGACCCAAAAAAGATCCCTTTCTGAGCACCTGGACAGCCATTGCCTCTCAAAATGAACAGTGCTGAGTGAAATGGACGAATAACTGGATAAAAGGGAGTTTCTCATGATACGAGTATCGTCCTTGATGTAGGAGTGTCTCTTACTGGCTCCTCCTCTTCTGCAGATGAGACTGTGCTACTGAATTTCCACCTCTCATCTTGTTTTCTTTCTGAGACAGGCAGGCAGGTGGGATACCAGCAGCCCTGATGCTAAACCACTAAGGAGGGAGAGAAAATGCCCAGTTAACAAGTAATGAGTGCAGAAAATGGGTGCTGCAGTGATGTGAAAGAATTTCTGGAAAAGTATTGTGAGTTGCTCATGTTTGTGCATCGAGGAAGACCCTAGATGCATGGCAAAGGCACACATGGTACCCTTGTAGAGATATCAGATGCTTACCTTCTACGTCCTCACTAATACTTGACATTTATGGGACACATATGACCCATAAATGGAGCAGATCAAGCGGAAAGAACTGGACGTTCATTTCTATCAACTAGGGTTGTATGTAGATGTGAATTGTCATAGCAGCAAAGAACTGAAGGCATATATATCATTCAATATAGAATACTCTGTATTAGCCAACAGCTGGTATGCCACTAATTATAATGACACAAGATTCATACTAACAGTTACTTGTTTTTCCAAAGCTTTTTTCCAAATGCCTTCTTTCAGCCGTCATATTTGTTTGGGTGAAAGGAACCATTGTGGTTTTGTTCCTTTCACAAACTCCTTTGTTTACTTAACATGACTTTGTTTACATTTCAGGGGAAAACCAAATCTACTGGACATGGGATCTCTGATGATCAAACCAATACAGCGAGTGATGAAATATCCACTGTTACTATGTGAGCTCTTAAATGCAACGCCTGTGTCCCACCCAGACCACAAGGCACTGCAGGATGCCTTGGTTGCTGTAAAAGCTATGAATATGAACATCAACGAACTGAAAAGAAGAAAGGATATTGGTAAGAAAACAAACAACAGCCCATCATTGTATGGGGCAGGAGATAATATCAAGATGTATTCAGAAAACCTTGTAGGAACTTTTTCATAAGTGATTATGAAGACATGTCAACAACTTTTTCAGATAATGACACTGAGGACAGAATTAAAATGTGGGTAATATAAATATATTCAACTATATTCAGGAACAAAGTAATTGTACTGAGTATTTGGATTTTAGCTCTGTCCATAACTATATTCAGTGCCATTGGAACTGGCTATTTTAGACATTGGGCAGCTCATGGGCTTCAGAAAGAAAGGGCGTTTCCCCCACTCCCCATTTTGTCATGATATCCTAACACAATCCCTCACCCCTTAATTAAATGTCTCTGGTAGACTCAACCCAAAGTTCATCTAATTCTTCTGTTTTTAACAAGGACCAGCCATGTGCCTCTAGAATAGGGATGGTCTACTTCAGTGTGTTTGCAGGCTCCTGTTGACTCCTCTGGAACTCACTGTATACCCCATATGTGTTTTTTATTTTCATTTTCAAAAATGTAATTGACTGGAAGTGGTGGGCATTTTTAGATTAACACCTGGCCCTGAATCTTGTCCTAGAGAAGAATTGGTGCCGTTGGAACTTCAAAAAGTAGTGGTTACGATTATTTTGCAGTTCAAAATATTATGTCACAGGATGAAACAGAGGCAATCCAGGAATAGCCCGGGGTGGCTGAAAACATTTGTGAAAATTCCATGCAGCTTTCAGGGCATGTATTTCTCATCACTACTCTATTCTCAACCATTTTTTGTTGTTGTTGTTGTTGTATGTATGTTTGTTTTTGGTTTTTTGGCCATGGCCAAAAACACAATATGAAAGAAATATAGGCCGAATCATGATTGTATAAGTCACATAAGAGATCTTGTAAGGTGATGTGTTTCCAGTCTATGCCCCCCTTCAAATTTGCCAGGGTACTCCCCAAGGGGGGGCATATGGCCTCTCCATGCAAATGGGTGCTCTAGAGATTTTCCCGTTTTATTCTGTAATAAGGTGATAGCCACTCCCTACAGAGGAGTATACTCTGTGTATCGTATTGAGGAAATTCTCCCTGATGCTCCAAGGACTTCATGGGTCACGAAAGCTGTGGAAATACGGAGAAAATAGACATGGGAGTAGTGGGAAATTCACTTTTAGATTTGTGGAAAGGGTCTTTGTGGGAGGTAAGCTCTGGAGCAAGATCCTGTGGCCTATTTAATGGAGATTTATTGTTCCTAGAGATTTTGAAAAGCAATAATTCACCTTCACCCCTCCAGTGAAAACCTATTTTGTGGAGGGGGTGGAGTATATTGGTGCTGGGAGGTACACGAGACCCCAAGGCTAACATTTATCCACCCCTGCTATATACAGAGGTTTCTTTTGGCTGTAATGGAAAACTATCAATATTCCTTGTATGTACTATATGGACTTTTCATCAGCATATTCACAGGCAAGGAAAAATTAAATCCCAGAATTATATGGTATATGTAGGTCCCATCTTACTAGCTTTATCTAGTGAGAAAAAGATGGGAATATTAAATGTGCTTCTGGTCCACTGTTCAATGCTTCTGTTTGCTTAAGGCGTATAATAAAGTTAGGCAGTGTGTATGTGTGATGTTTAAGCATCTCCCAGGCAGACTCACTAGGGATTTAGACTGCAAAGGCATGAAAATTATTATCGCACACAGGATTATGCATTCGGCAATAAATAGTATCAGTGGTGCTACTGCAAACAACAGGGGCAATTAGAAAGATGGATTTTTAAAAAGCTTATGTGGCTATAAGGATTTTCATCATCTTTGCTATTTCCATAAGTACAGTGGTGCCTTGCTTAACGGGCCCTCCGTTTAGCGATGAAACCGCATAGCGACGAACTTTTTGCAATCGCAAAAACGATCACATTGCGATGTTTCCTATGTGTTTTTTTCGCTTTGCGATGATCGGTTCCCTGTTTCACTTACCGATCATCGCAAAGCGATGATTTTTTAACAGCTGATCGGCTGTTCCAAAATGGCCGCCGGGTAAAAAAAATGGCCACCCGCTGTGTTTAGGGACGGATTCCTTGCATAAGAGGCAGCGAAAATGGCTGCCGTATGGAGGATCTTCGCTTTAAGGTGAGTTTTAAGCTCATAGGAACGCATTAAACAGGTTTTAATGCGTTTCTATGGGTTTTTAAAATCGCATAGCGATGGAATCGCTTAGCAGCGATTTTTGCTGCACGGATTAACGTCGCTATGCGAGGCACCACTGTACAGCCAGGAGTAACCTTCATGTCCCAATCTCTCTCTCTGGCTTTATGTGACATGAAAGAAAAGTAGGGCTGAACGGCATCCTATACATTCAATGTTTTATTAATGGGTCTGCCTTACACAATTGCAGTGCTGAAATATAAGAAGAATGACGAAGACGAAACCTTGAAAGAGAAATTTTCAAAACTGAACATTCACTCAATTAGTAAGAAGTCCAAGAGGGTCACAAGCCACCTGAAAATTCTAACTGGAGGAGAACCACAGGTATTCAATTGTCTGTTTTATGTTCTACAGAGGTCCACTCCTCTTCTTCCTCTTTCCCCTTCCTCCCCCTGCCCTTCTCTTCTTCTTTATGGCTAAGAGCCATGCTATTTATGCTGATCTATGGAGAACTAAATTTCTGTGCTCAGAAATGATGCCTAAATATGTCCTTATTTATTTACTTCGTTGCTTGCCACTTTACTGTGCTACTTTTCTCCTGACACACTTAAAGCAGTTTACAGTTTCTTCTACTTCTTCAAAATTCTTCAAAAAAAAACCCTCTCTGTTATGAATGTGGAATATTGTGCTTCTGTACCCATGATTCAAAAAGCCAGGAAGTGCCCCAATATTGCTGCACAATATTGTGCCCGCATTGCCAGCAGGAAAAGGGATGGCAAGCTTTAGGTACCCTGTTTCCCCGAAAATAAGACCTAACCTGAAAATAATCCCTAGTATGATTTTTAGGATGCTTGTCATATAAGCCCTACCCCCCAAAATAAGTCCCAGTTAAGTGAAACTCCGCCTTCCGCTATTGTGCAGCAACCAGAAGAAGATGACATGACTGTATTTGAATAAATGTAGTTTGTTGTTCAAAAACCAGCCCAACAATTGCTTTCTGTTTGGGTGGGGAGTGGTTAACTGATGAAAATAAGAATCAGTTACATTAACCCATTAATGCCATGTCTAAATGGGCAGTGAAAAGGAGCCTCATGGCGCAGCGGTTAAACTGCAGTACTGCAACAGAGATGCTGTTCATGACCTGAGTTCTATCTGATGGGCTCAGGTAGCCACCTTGAGGCCGAATTCAGCCTTCCGTCCTTATAAAGTAAGCAAGGGGAAGGCAAGTGAGGAGTCTGCATGTTGTCCTAAGATGCAGTGGAGGAAGGTTATGCAGACAATTAAATGTGATCTACCAGGTCTTGCTATGGTGTTAGGATTTTCCTGGAGAAACCCAGAGACTTACTGGGAAATGGAGAGTCAGAACTACTTGGCCCACCATCGTAGACAAAATGAATCTCCAAGGTATACACTCAGCAGTTTCCATCTTCAACACAGCTCAACTCCCCTTATTTCTAGTTTCCACAATGAGGGCTTGTCGCCTTTCCCCCAAATTCTTACTTACTTACAATGTTTAAAAATTCAGATGCTAACTACATCCTAACAGCATGCTCAGAATTCCGATGCCAGCCACGATGAGATGTTCTTGATGTAGCTATTTTTATTCAGACATAAAGCCATCTCTATTTTAGCATTTCTTTCAGTAAACACTTTTCAAACTCAAAATATGGGAGAACCACTTTTGGCGGGGTGTGAGGGGAAGATGATGCTTTTTTTTAACATCAGAGCATCTTTTCTCCCTTTAGTCTGAGGTTCAGAGTGCTCACATTTTCTTTCTCTGACATCTGCAGCAACCCCTTCAGTGTTAGATGAGAAGACCAGATAAGACATACCCAAGGTTGTCTTGCCCCCCCCCCACGCACACAAAGAAGAAAAACAGGAGCAAATAAAATACCACTCCCTTTTATCAGATCAGAACAAGTATGATTCCTGAAATAACAGGAATCTTGAAAACTTGGCATGTGTTCTATCACTGTGCAGATGTACAGTAATGAGCGGAGGGGAAAACAAATGTTTGATACAAAATGATGCATTGCTCATATACATTTTTATGCAAGCTAAGAGAACATCATAAACATGAAAGCCAGCAGGAACATAAACTCAGTGTTAAACTAAAATAAACTCAGTGCTTCTTTAATGTGTTGCTGACCTCCCTATCAGGCGAGGTAATTTCTGGCATTCTTGTTAAAGGTTCTTCTCCCTCCCACCCCCTCCGTTTCCAACTCATTCTCCCTGCCAAAGCTTTTAACCATTGCATTTGTTAGCATGAGGATTCTATGAATGTTCCAGCAGGGAGGATATGCATGTGTATGGGCTAAACTCACTATGCTGCTGGAAGGGCTAATAATCCACTGGCTATTTTCTAATCCATCATTGTTTGCATTTCATTTCCTGCTATCTTATGCAAAGCCTTGCATCTTATTAACAAGGTTTGTATTTTTGCATGACTGGACTGAACTGCAATTTTGGTTTGCCCTAGTTTTTGAATGAATCCCACCCCTTGCAATCACATCCTTATAGTTATATACAGCACTGATCCCCAACCTGCACTCTAATAGTGTGGAAGTATGATCCGAACCTTAAAACTTTCCTGCCTCCCAGGTGTATGCAATGCTAATTGGCTTTCCTCTTTACCATATTAGGCTCAGAGATAGTCAGAGACTATGATGATGATGATCCCCAACCTTTTTGACACCAGGGACCAGTTTAGTTGAAGACTATTCTCTCAAGGACCGGAGGCTGGTAGTACTTGTTATGCAGTAGGTTGTTGGAGGATAGCTTTGAATGGAGCTCATGAAGGAAGTGGCAAGTACATGCAGGAGGTGGCATGAAGGAAGTGGCAAGTACATGCAGGAGGTGAGCTGCATTTGAAGCTCCACCTCCTGTTAGATCTGCAGTGGCTTAGAACCTAATGGGAACACAGGCTCCTATTAGATTCTAATGCCTCGGGCACAGATGATCTAGCAGCACCAGGAGGGGAGCAGGGAGTGAAGCTCCGCCTCCTGTCAGATAATCAGCAGCATTAGAACTTTATAGGAGCGTGCTGACAGGAGGTTCCTGTCAGATAATCAGCAGCATTAGAACTAGGAGCATGCTGACAGGAGGCGAAGCTTCGCTAACCACTCACCTCCTGCTCACTGGTCATCTGTATTGGTGGCCCAGTTCTTCCAAGGCCACGGACCGGGACCAGTCACTGGACTGGGGATTGGGGGGCCCTTGATATACGGTACGCATCTATGCTCGTGATGTTTATTCTGTATCCAGAATGGCTAAGGACACTTGAAGGAATTAAGACAATATAGCAATGACACTTAAATCAACAAATACAATTAAAACAGTACAGGAATATTATAAAAACCCAGAAACCTTATGATGAAAAAGCACAAAAATCAAGATCAGAATAAAACAGCAGCAGAGAAGCAGTTTTAATAGCGGCAGGAGGAAACGGTTGTTGAAAGGTATGATTTTTCTGCACACCAGAAGTTGGATGCTGGGCAGCAGTGGGACCAGGAAGTTTTCTATTCTAGCATCTTGAAGGCCCTTTTCCCCAGATCTGTTCATTACATTTCAGATGAGAGGGCAATATGGAGACACAAGTGGTCCCAGCAACTATAAAGGACTCCAGAGACACAAGTGGTACCACACACACACACACACACACACACACACACACACACACACACACACACACACACACACACACACACACACACACGTATTAGCTCCAGATAGTTTCCCAGCCCCCAGGGGTTGTTTCTGGAGCATATTTTTTGAGCTGGGGGGTTTGCAGGGGGGGTTGCAGGAGGAGACATTTATTGTTCTGTTTTATCTATGTAAGCTGCCCCAAGTAGACATGGTCTACTCGGGGCGGGGTAAAAATCAGTCAAACAAACAAACAAACAAACAAACAAACAAATACTGGTGAATCAGCAAGGAAATCTGCCACTAGCAGCAGCAGGGAAACAGTGGTCTGTGTTAGGATTGCTGGGAATGTTAATGCTTCCCCACCAACAACCTTGATTTACATTGCTGTTTCTCTACTCCTAGCAGTGATAATGATTAGATTACTGCTGATGGCCGCTCAGTGTCAGCAGGACAGCATACAAAAGTGAACGTGGCTTCCCGGAACTAATCATAGAGAGTGAGCAGGGCTGTAAGCTGCCTAGCTGTGAAAGAAGCTGCCGTTCCAATCAGAGATACAACATTTTTGCAGAAATTTGAAGATGATTTTTTTAAAAAGGGAAGAATGTGATGTGTGCAATACTTATTTTCATGTCAGATCTGAACTTACTTTTACATAAAATGCTTCATCCGTAACTTAGTGCAGCAACAAAATTGCCATATTAATGACATTTAAAAATATAAAGTTAGTTTTGTACAAGAAAAATAGGGCTAGGTAAAAGTCAAAATGGAATGGAACAGGGTGGAATGGGGACTTCTAAATAAAAATTGATGCCAGAAATAGTGGCAAGCAATGGACAGGCATCAGAACAATACTTTAGACTTCAAACCTAAAAATAATTAGGCTTTCATTGACTTTTTATTGCTCCTAAACCCACCAGAGTGGAACACAGTGGCCCAGAATGGCAACTTCTGAGTAGGATAATCAAACTAAATTCATGACACACATGTGACTAGATGAGATGGATGCAGCAAACCACAAATCATCCTCAGAAACAACAGTCCAATACTTGTTTGAGGCAGAAAATCAATACTGAATTTTAAAAAAGTCTGGAATGGTGATTTCTGAGTAGGGTAGCCCAACAAAATTCATCCATTTCATCCAACTAGAGGGAAATGATGAAATCCACCACAAAATGCTCCCAGGAACAACATGCCACTACAGTGGTGCCTCGCTTAACGAGTGCACCACATAACGACGAAATCGCATAGCGATCCGTTTTTTCGGATCGCTAATGCGATCGCTTAACGTTTTTCTTATGGGGCACAATTCGCTTTGCGAAGACCGGTAAGCGTTTCGCTTACCGATCTTCGCAAAACGAAGCCCCGATGATCAGCTGTTCGGCGGCCAAAATGGCCACCGGAAGCCCGGAAATGGCCCAAAATGGCCGCGCGCAGCGTTTTCGCGCCCTCGTTAAGCGAGGCGAGGGTGCGAAAATGGCTGCCGGCCATTACAAAGCTTCGTTGAACGGTGAGTATTTGGCTCATTTGGAACGCATTAAACCATGTTTAATGCGTTCCAATTGAAATCCCTGCCCCGTTCAACGATGCTTCAGCATAGCGAAGGTTAATCCGGAACGGATTAACCTCGCTATGCGAGGCACCACTGTATTTGTTCTGGGCAGAACATTGATGTTGCCACAAAACAACCTGGAATTGTGACTTCCAAGCAGAGGAAACCAACAAAACTCACTCATCCCATCCATCTAGAGGGGGCTGATCTAGAATGTCCCCCGGAACAACATTCCAGTACCTGTTCTGGGCAGAAGAGTGATATTGTGAAAAACAGCCCAGAACAGTAATCTCTCTGTAGAGTAGCTCAATGAAATCCACCCATCTCATCTGACTAGAAGGGACTGATGCAACAAGCCACAGAACAACCTCATCTGCTGAGGAATTACTCCAGCCTGGCCCTGAAAATTAAACGCCCTACAAAAAGTCCAGCTTGGATACAGATTGGGGTTGGGCTGGAGTATATTTTCCCATGCATCACTGGGAAATAGATTGCACTGGGCCACTCCACAAGTGGTCCAAATTGTGACCTATTTCCCTGTGTAATCACACCCACTATCAGTTCCAGGGAAGTTCCAGTCATGCAATAGCCCTGCTCTCACCCCCCAGGGCGCCTACATGCAGAATTCACTGGACAAACTGGTTGCAATTTATATGTGCATTTATTTACTTAGTTACTTGTATATCCAATCTTTCTTTCAAAGAGCAAAAGGTGGTATGTATACAAAGTTTTCCTCCTCTACACATTATCCTCCCAACAACCTTGTGGAGTAGATTACAGTGAGAAAGATTGACTGGCCAGAGGTCATCCTGTTCAGTTCCATGGTTTACAAGGGATTTGAACCCACATCGCCCAAATCCCAGTCCTTTACTCAAACACACATATAAATAAAAACCATTTGGCTAGCCCTCTTTCAGTATATGCTAGAATTTTGGATTACTCAATTTAAAGAATTTACAGTGTGGTTATACCATGAAAATGAATTGATAGCTGGATTGGGTTTTTTGAAATTGGGTTAAAGTCGTCTTTGGGTTAGTGTATGTATTTGGCTTTCCAATGTGGATCTGTCACTTACAGATTGACACAGTTGCTCCCAAGCACTCTTGACACTATAATGAGGAGATTTGTCAGTGAAGCTTAGAGAATAGAGATGGGCATGATTTTAAAAAAAAAAACACCAAATTCGGGCAAAACAAATGCTAATTTGTCAATTCATATATATTGATTCATTGATTCATTTGACTATAGAACACCCCACGTGCCCCCCACCAGCACCTAACCACACCAAAATTGCAGGAAAGCTTCCTCTGACTCTCCTCTACAATCCCTCCAAGTCTGGTGAAGATTGGGTTTCTCCAAGCCTGCTGCTAAAGGACACTCTTCTGGAGGGACCTGAGGGTATAAAACTTGGATATCTGTAACTTAATCTTCATCAAAAAATGGAGGGATTGTAGAGAAGAGTCACTAAAAGCTTTTCTGTATTTTTTTTTGTGTGTGTGTCTCTAGGTGTGTGCAGGGAACTTTCCTGCAAGAGTTCTTCGTGGGTGTGTAACTCACACGTCTGAAACTCAAATTTCACCAAACTTGCAGGGCTTTTAGAAGAGTGTCAGGGGAAGCTTCCTTGCAAATTTGGTGTCTCTAGATGTTTGGGGGCCATATTATAGGGTTTTTAATTAACAAATGAATTGACAAATTGATTCATCAGGAAAAAAATAATAAATTTGTAATTCATGATTCATCGACCTTGACTAATCATGAATCAAAATGAATCACCATTTTTCTGATTCATGCCCATCTCTAGTAGAGAACATAGCTGGAAGAACATAAGACTTCCAAGGACATGGAGAGAATCCTTGACAGTCTCCTCTGATTTGTTTCCTAAACATTCATCTGATAACATCACTTGCATCTGGTCCAACCTGCCTGCTACTTTTAATACAGTACAAATACTGTATATTTTTGGAGAACCAGATCCTTGCATTAATTTTGATAATTTTACTTGTCATAACCTGAGAGGAATGATTGCTAGAGTGTAATCTACTCTACTGTATGTCTCCTTGATCATTAGCTGAGAACATTCAACTGAGAGATGATTGGCTGTGTTTCAGAGGTAATTTAACTCATCATCACATGACAGAATAGGAGGCCTATCTTACTATCAGGTAGAGTGAAGAAACCACCCCGGGCAGCAAATGCAGGAAGAGGGAGGGAGGGAAACCCCTTGCACACACCCTTTTTTGGAGGACAGAGCTACGTGAGCCATGCGGTCTCTCCCGCACCCTTAAACTAACCTGGTTTGCAGTGGTTGTATTAACAAATGCATGAGGTTTTCTTTCTCTTTTCTGACTTCTAATCAAGATGCATGAATGCTGGATTTAATGCAAGGGGGTCTGTGAATCTGCTGCTTTACCCATTAACATCTCAGGGCTCTTTTCTGAGGGCATATTATTTTCCATAACCTGGACACCATAGGAATGTCATTGCAGCCTAGAATTGAAAAATCCATTGCTTTTTGTCTAGTAAGACGTTTAGATCCTTTTCATACATAGTGCAACTAGGTGTCACCCAGCAATGTGTGCAATCATCTGTGCAATGATTTTTCCTGCCTGCACTTCTTTCACTAGGATTAATGACCATTTCTTTGAAAGGGGATAAAGCAACAAATTGTGGCCAATCAAAAACTGAAACACAGCTGACAACTTGCTCTTTGCAAAGATGTCATTTGTGGCAGAGAAGAGGCAGAGGAAGGTGTATGCTTCCTGTCAGAGATGGGCATGGACTGAATTGTGCCACTTAGTACAGATTGTGCTGTGTGGCACTACAGGTGCCACATGTTTCCTCCCACCACCCTTCCCAGCCAGCTGGCCCACCTACAATCCATTGTGTACCACCAGGATCCTTCTCCAGTGGTGGGCCAGTGAGGTCAGGAGCTCAAGCTGCCCTTTCCTGCCTCCTCCAGCATCCAACTACTCATTGGCTGCACAGGGAGACTCCCCAACCTGCCTCCTTGTCTGAGTGGTTGGCTGCCAGAGGAGGCGGGGAAGGGCTGCCCAAGCTCCTGCCTACGCTGGCCTGCTGTCAGTGTAGGAGGACCCTAGCAGCACATGGCAGACTCTAACTAGGTCAGCCAGCTGGAAGGTGAAGGGAGGAAACATGGGGAGCCTGTAGTGCTGAGTGGCGTGATTCGTACCAAGTGGCAGAACTCAATTTGTACCCATCTCTACTTCCTGTTTACACAGGCTGTGCTCACATATCAATAGGCTACACTTTATTTTTGTGATCAACTAAGGCCACAATATAACAGCAACAAGTTTTCAAATCATGAAGATGCAGTTGTAATTCCAGTGCAAAAAATACAGTGACATTTATTCAGTGTTTCTGATATGATTAAGAGTGCTCTCTCAGTTATCGATGTCCACATTCTTATCTGAACTAGAATATTATCATACATTTTAGGTGAAAGATGAAACTTTTAATAAAGAGGAAAAGCTATTCAGAAGTTTGGAAAAGACAATCAAACTCTGTGTGAAGAATATTTCATTGTTTCTGCAATACCTAGAGGTGAGTATAATGGAGTAATCCTTAAAAAATTCACTTACTACTCACAGTTTACTTCTGAGTGATTGTGAAACTCAATCTGAAGTTGGAGCTGAAGCATCTTGCCGCAAACTCTGAAAGCTTTCTCTTTGCATCCACTGGAAGTTATTTTGTCGAAATTCAAATTTAAAAATGCTATATACCAAATTCAAAGATGAATTCTTAAGTAACATAATGTAATATGAAAGGTTGAAATTCTGTTGCTTAGCATAGTTGCACTAAAATAGGACCACTGAATGAGTGGGGATTTAGCAGCCAACTTCTCCGTAAGTTTCATTGATCTGAACATGCCTCTTGTAACTTATTTTAGCTAGTAAATTTCAGCTAGAGTAGGCCCCTTTTTACCAATGGAAGATACAGAGGTGGTGACTCATTGATTATGTGGGCCTGCTCTAGTGTAATTTACTATATTAGGCAACAGCAGTAGTGATTTCCACAGTATATCACAACAAGCCAAGATGATGTTTGTTCAAATCAGGCTTATTGTGACGGGTGGATCCATCTCTGCTGTCAAGCTATAGTTTGTAAACTGGCCATAAATTATAATCTGAATCCATGGGCCAGTATCCTGTTTTTAGTTGTGCTAGTGTAGCAAGAATGACTTCAACAGCAGTGGCAGATTATTGCTAATTAAAATATCAGACAAAAATCACATGCAACCTAAAAGAAAACTTGGATTTTTTAATTGCAAAAGCTTATTATTGCCAATGGCATCATTCCTGCCATGACAATGGAACAGGATTTTGGCCAGTTTATTAAACTTTCTAGAGAGCAGCTATGCTAGCGTGCATTAGCAAAAACAAACAAACAAACAAACAAAAAACCCAAGAGGCCTGTAGCAACTTAAGGAGAAGTTTGTTTGTTTGCTTACACATCCTTTTGTTTTGGAGGTAACAAACAAACAAACAAAAAACAACCAAGAGGCCTGTAGCAACTTAAGGACAAGTTTGTTTGTTTGCTTACACATCCTTTCGTTTTGGAGGGATAAGCATTTCTATACTGTAGCTCACTTCATTGGACATAACAGGCAAAGTGGCCTATGGTAGGCAAAATCTTAAGCCCAATAAAGATTTTTTAAAAAGTTTTAGGGTGCCAGCAAACTTTAAAAGGTTTGTTTTAATGACACTGTTTTTTAAAAGCTATAAATTGAAGTGATGCCTGAACCTGCAATTCTGGCTTGTCCTTGACTTTTCCTGAGTCTTCTCCTGGAAACAGAGTTAACACAAGAAGCAGGACAGAAACAAACCAGGAATGGGAACTATAAACCAGGGTTTGTTTCGTTTTACCTGCAATTTAGTTTGTGGCTTAAGGAGCAAGCCATGGTTGACATAAACAGTTGCTTATTGTGTAATGCCCATTTGTGTATGTGTGTGTTTTTCACATTCTTCTCTTCTGTGCATTTAATTCTTTTTAGGATTCAAGTCCTCTGGCGGCACAAACTGTAACAGAACTTCAAGATCTTCTGTATGAGAGAGAGAATGATGAAATTGGCTCTCCAAAGACAAGGATTAATGCCGAAAACTGCAATGAAGAATTTGTAAGTTCAAGACACATAAGTTCAAGGTTCATGCCCATCTCTGTTTTCTCTGCATTGACTCTGACAGCCAGACTTGTAAAACAAGCTCATGTTTACTTTTCAGTGTACAGATACAAAAGGAAACACAGTTAAATGCAAGATATAGGGACGAGAGAAAGCAGGTGTTATCACAAACAAAAGACTTTAACCACTCGAATGAACACTGTTTCTTAAACACTTGTTAAATGTATTGTCTACTTTAACCATAATTTTGGCTCCAGTAATTCCATAAGTGTTTTCCCTGATCTCTGATGGCAAAAAATACACCCAAGAAAAATGGAACAGGTTTGCTGCCTCATCACAAAACCTAAAATCTGCTGTCTGAGATGGCCACCTCACTTGGTCTAGCCTTCAGGCCTGGATGCAGTATGCTATAGTGTTTAAAATGCTAGTTGTAAACTTGGGCCTTTGTTATTATCTTTGTTTAGGCCCCAAACCAGGAATGAACCTGAACCAGCAATGTCTTTCTCTCTAATCTACCTCACAGGCTTGTTGTGATGCAAAGTTTCCTACTGTAGGTTCTTTGGAGGAAGGATTGGAGAAAAAATGTGGTAGACCCTCTCACTTATTCTCACAACAACCCTGTGAAGTAGGTTTTTGCTTTTTGCTTTGCCTTTGAAGTAAGTTAGAAGAAAAGCTGTGACAAGTCATCAAGTTAGTGAATACATAAATGTCTTTCTCCTCTTTTAAATGGCTTTTAAATTTGGTGCTTGTTTTAATATGATAACTTGCTTATTTGTGTTTTAGTAATATAACTTACTGTATTTTAGCTGTCTCTCTTGTGGTTTTGAAGTCATATTGCAACTTGCCTTGGGTCCCAGCAGGGGAAGAATAGCAGGGTATAAATAAAAGAAAATAAATTTTGAGCCCTGTTTCCCCCTCCCCCCTTTACATAAGTCTACTTTATACTGTATTACTAAAATCTACTGGATATTTGTAAGAGTCATTTTCAACTTTTACTTAAGACAAATTGGGTGTAACATGGGAAAAGCCTTGTAAGCTCAGAGCTAAATCCTCTGATTCATTCATTCTTAATTTCTCATGTACGTAACTGGGGTATAGTAATTAGTGAGTGAATGCTGGATGTTTATTTGACTTGGACTCTTATATGCTCTGGCTTTCTTTCTCCTGCCTTACCCATACATTCACCTCAAGGCGAATCAACTGGACAAGATGGTGCTGTCTCCCCTTTCAGCGCTACAGGCCTTATTTCTAGGCCCTCAAAAGCTAATCCAGAAACGTTATGACAAACTGCTAGACTATAATAGCTCCCATACACCGAAGATGCCAGGGGACGAAATGGATCTTGCCAGGAGGGAATATGAGGCCCTTAATGCTCAGCTCGTGGAAGAACTCCAGAGGTTTAACAGGGCAGCAAAGAGAATCGTGACAAATTGCCTGTATTGCCTCATTAACCTCTTGAGGGATATGATGTCATCATCGCTGGAGTCCTTTTCCACAGGGGAATCCCTCGTACCAGTGAGTAGATTACAGTTACATGTGTACTGAGTTGTTCTTGATGATGATAATGAAACAACACCACTGAATAGATTTTTTTTGACTACAGCTCCCAGAATCGCACAGTAAATAAAGCGAGGAAGGTTTACTTATTGTTGGACTGCAGTTCTCAACATTTCCCAGCTAGTGTGGATACTAACAATGCTGTCTGATGAGTTCTGAGATCTATTGTTCAAAATAGTTGCTATCCTGTACTATATAATAATTAAAAGGAATATATCTCTGTCACCGGGGATGTGGGACTCACTGTCATGTCAGACTTAAGTCACACTGGTGACTCGAGTTGGACTCAAGATGGGTTTTGTTTTGTTTTTTCAATGACTCGGACTCAACTCACAACTAGGAATCCACCCATCCCTTCCCTTTTTCTGAGGGAAAAAAAGGATGTTTTTAATAGGGACTCGAGACTGAGACTTGGTACTAAAGACTCAGACTTGGGACTTGGTATCAAAGACTCAAACTTGGGACTTGGACTTGCCAACATCCGTGTCTGTCACAGCCTTACCATTAAAAACAAAAACACTGTGACAATTACATTGAATGAGGAATTAAAGAGAGGTTCCACAGCTAGAAATGTTGATAAGACTTTATGAATTTTCCATACCCTAAATCCCAGAACGGAACACAGTTATCCTTCAGTGTTTGCACTTCTCAGGATTATGCAACACAGTTCTCCTACCAAGGCAATATACCCATCAAATGGAATTAAACAGATACAGAAGGGGGCACCTTGGCTTGCTAAAATATCATGTATCTGTAGGGTTGTCCCTCCTTCCCTTCCTTAAGAAATAACATGACTTTTAGCACAGTCTTTCCTGTAGCACAGCTGTGCCAGCGTGTGGATACTGCACTCTAGTGGCATCAATTTTAAACTGGCTCCACCAGGTTTTCAGTTGTGCCACCTGTCTGGATTTCCCCCTCTTCTTTAGCTCAGCATTGTACAATGCTGTACCTGTACAACACAATATATGTGTATTATAAAATGGCAGTGCACAGATGTCACATTAAATTATGATCCAGTGCACTCTTCCACCTTGAGCCCTGCAGATGTTTTATACTGTAACTCCTATTATCCTTAGTCAGAATAGGAAAATTCATATGAATGGCACCACATGAGGGGGAAGGATGTTTTCATGTAAAATGAAGTCAGTCTCTCCCATGTTTGGATGTTCTCCCTGTTATACTCTGACATGATTTCGAGGAGCTTTTGTAAGTGTTTGCTTCTGCTTTTGCTGCACTGTTTGCTGTGATGTTTGAATCCATAATACTGTGGACATCTTAAGTGTGGTTAGTTGTGAACAAGCCAGTTTCAAATTATGCTTTATAGAGTGAGTTTGTGCAAACTAAGCTTAATTAAATTGGACCATGGTTTGCTTGTTTGCTTACGTGCATTTTTAGCCCACTTTTCATATATTTCCCAAAGTGGCATGCTGGAGAGCTATCAGCAGTGACTTCAGTACAGTTCAGGCTAGGCTGATGGGAAGGTCGCCAGACATAAGTGTAGTCATCCAAGGTCATAGCGGGTCATTGACCCCTTCCTTTCTTAAGAGCCATGTTTCTTATATCTACCAGCCTACCCATGACTATTCCTTGTTTAATTTGAACAATGTGCAAAAAAAGGTGAAGAAAAATCAGGGCACTGATTTACCAGTTTACTAGTTTACTATGGTCCATGTCACATGTATGTAGGTCATTCTGTTTTGCAATCCCAGTTTCAAAGCATGCCTACCTGGATTATTTTTAAAAGTGTCATTTGATTTTTACTGAGCCAGAGACAATTTCCCTATAAATGGGGCAAAGCAGCCATCTGCCAGCAGCCTTCTTCAGGAGAGAGTGCCTCACTTAATGCAGCTTGATTTCCACCCAAACATGCACAGAATCAGGTTGCTGCATTTTTTTACTTAGGGCTACAATCCTGTAGAAACCTCTGCAAGAGTAAGTAATTTTAGATTATTATAAAACCATACAAGAGATGTGCGTATGAGCCGCTATGGCTGTGAGCAGCTATGGTGTGACCATTGTGAAAGAAACCTGCACTCCTGAATTTGCCACTGCAGTAATGGTCTTAACTCACTGTTAGATCAAACATGTTTCGTATGCAGAAAACCCCATATTCAGTCCTTTAAAAATCTACTGGTAGGTCAAGGAAGAGAATCTTGCCTGAACTCCTGAATCAAAATTAAACACACTGGAGTAGATTAATCAATGGTGTGACTCAACATAAGTTAACATCCTGTGCTGCTTTGTGCCTTTGTTGAAGAACAATCTGTGGTTCTTGCTCCTTTAGCCAATGGATGGGGCCACAGCACTTGTTCCCCTTAGATTTCTTGTTTCCAGAGCTACATGCCATTGGTATCCTTGTTCTCTTACTTTTGGCAAGGAAGAGGGAAGCTAACTGTAACTCCCATCATCCTTAGTCACCTTGGAACTTCTCATTTGGCTGATGGACAAACTGGGCTGGCCTCACCCTTCTCTTGCTGTTCTTCCTGAGAGGTGGCAGGTGTGATCTCCCAGTGGCTCTAAGCGCCGGGGCTGATGGCAGAATCAGATTTATGTGACATGGTTTGCTCTGGTCAACCAAAAGCGAAAGCTTCCAAACATTTTGTCTTAGCTATCGAGAGGGAAATGTGTGAGGCCAGAAAAGGGTTAGGTTCATTCACATCATGTTAAACCAGAGCCAATGAGAATTTTAGATGTATGACATAAACTACACCCAGTTTGCTCAATTTTATTTAACAGCACTCCTGAGCTTTAAAGACCAGAAATTCAACATGTGAGATTTTGCTCACTATGCCTGAAGAAATTAAGTCCCAGAAACTTTGCCAGAATAGAGGAGTGATAAGTAGAAATACTTTCTGCTAGTGAATTCCTGCCAGAAGTAAAATATGGAACTCCCATTTTAAGGCCCACCAGGTTCACTACGAAAAGCAACACAACAGTATTTCTGGATTCTTGTGGGCTGTGACTGATTATGTAACTTTGAACCTCTTCCGGCTTTTCAGCTAAGTATCACTGAAGTTCAGCATCAGGTGCTTGAAGAGGTGCACAACCTGGGTTTTGTTAAAGAAAACAACAACATAACATTCATCGAGAGAAAGTTGAGCTTTGAAAAAAAGAAGCCCATCGCTTTGCAGGTTTGTAGCTCTGAATGCTGGTGTGATATAGTGAAGTCATTGCCCTGTTTCCTGCTTATGTGATATACTGTAGTAAGGTCAGTGCCCGGTGTTTCCTAGGAGACATACAATATCAATGGTCACAGTGGGAACAGACAGATGGATTAGATAAGACATTTGGCCTGATCCATACGTGTTTATTTTCTTATGTTCTAAAGCATAGAAAAGCCCCTTCCATGCTGACATCCTGCGCATGATTTTTTTTTTGGGGGGGATGCAGGACCTACTTGGATGTAATTTGACAGATCCGTAAACATGATAAGTATGAAGAGGAGATAGCTGATGCAGAAAGTGAAACAGCCAGTGTTTTTATTTCATAGGGCAAATGGCAACTTAGGGCAGGAACAGAGATCGGAAAAGCTATTTTTTCAACTTCAGCTTCCCAAACTTCCCTGCATGATCGAGTTGGCTGGGAATTTGTAGTGGAAAAGGTCCCTTCCATGCTGACATCCTGCGCATGATTTTTTTTTTGGGGGGGATGCAGGACCTACTTGGATGTAATTTGACAGATCCGTAAACATGATGATGCTTAAGTATGAAGAGGAGATAGCTGATGCAGTGCTGTTTGATGGTGAAACAGCCAATGTTTTATGGCAACTTAGGGCAGGAACAGAGATCGGAAAAGCTATTTTTTCAACTTCAGCTTCCCAAACTTCCCTGCATGGTCGAGTTGGCTGGGAATTTGTAGTGGAAAAGGTACATTCTCCAAGATTTGGGTAGGTGGAGTGACAGAGCAGAGTTGATCAAGGAGAGGAGAACAAAGAAAAGAAGTTAATTGTGGTCTGAATAGGATAACTCATTCTTTTTCCCAAGCTGGTGTTGATTTTGTTTTTTAAAAGTGGGACATCATGTTCATGGCTGTCCCACACCAAGTCTAGTTTGGACCCCTCGGTCCCAAGCCAATGGGCAGCCCTGGATCCTAAGGAAAACAAAGCCACATCTGTTGCCATTTTGCTCCAAAAGGTCCCCAATGTTCCATTTCCACCAGCCCTTAGCTAGACTGCTGACAAATGCTTTCATTCAGATGGCAAATGCAGAGCCTGCAGATACATTTTCTAAATATCTGTGTCACACTTATTAATCTTCCAATTTTTTTATTGCAGAGCAAGACTCTAAATGCCTCTGATAGCAATGGCATGTGGTTTCTTTTTTACAAAAAGTGCTCAGATTTAGACCTGTCTACTGCAGAGCATTGCCTTCAAAAGAGCCACAAGAGTACAAAAGCCTTACTTGTCCATATCTGTAACTTGTCATTCCATATATAAAATAGCATAATCTATGGATTACTGGTTTTTCATGTCTGGCCTTTTGATATGGATTGTCATATATCCCTGTCATTGAGGAGATGACTTCAAAAAGCTTTACTTTAATTGACGCAGGGAGGATGAGTGCATTAAGATAGGAGAAGCAGGCAAATTTCTTTCACATTACTATTCATAGGAGAATAATCTCAGAGTCTGCAAAGTAAAAAAAAAGTAAGCCCAAAGACATTGACCCATCTGCAGTGTACAAAAATCCTGTGCATTTTGGTAATTCGTACACAGCTGTACCCTTATACATGACAATGCAACTCTAGTTTTATCCAAAAGTGGACTCAGTTTTATGTTACCAGCTTCTTGGGTTGCTAGCTAGAGCTCAGTTTTGCAAACCAGACCTGAATTCCCTTCCTGGGATCCTGTAGAATTAAACCACGTGTACCATAGATCAGTGATCCTCAACCTTGGGCCTCCAGATGTTCTTGGACTACAACTCCCAGAAGCCTTCACCACCACCTCTGCTGGCCAGGATTTCTGGGAGTTGAAGTCCAAGAACATCTGGAGGCCCAAGGTTGGGGACCACTGCCATAGATGGAGCATGAATTGGTTGATTTTTATGGCACTTCAGCAATGAGATATCAAAGAACTCTTGTACAAGCATAAACTAGCTATACAATAAGGATATCTGTGTGCATACTAATAATGGCTGCACAAGTGGCAAATCCTGCATTATTGCACTGGCTGCGACCTTTAAATTGATTTTTATCACTGATCATTGACTGATAAGCCACTTCGATAACACAAACCACCAGGCTTCTCTTTCTTCATTGGAGTTCATTTTTCTACACTGCCACTAGTGAGAAATTTGTTTCCAATACAAGCAGCAACTTCAGAAGAGATTTTTTTTCTTTGTGAGGACTGTGGAAAAGAAAGAAAGGCTTAAACTCTTCCTCTTCCTTCTGCAGTCTCTGTTGCTTTCTCTTGCCCCACATTATGTGTCAGCAACTATTTGCACTTTTAACTAATAAGGAAGATGTAATTGATGTCATTTCTTCTTGATATGAAATGCTTAAGTGAGCATATGTGCTCCAGCGGACAATATATTAATTGTGCCATAACAACTTGGGTTCAAATCTTTACTCTAACATCTATCCAAAGGATTGCAAATGAGCTAAGATTTGAAGAAAAGAGGAATATAATTACTAATAACCAAATAATCGTTCATTAGATATACAGCAAAGTGGGCTGCATTTAACTGTAAGCTGCCCGCAAGACTCATTGGCTAGAATCTTGTTAGGTTCCACAGTCATGAAAGGTCAATCATTTCTGGACACCACACTTCAAGAAGGATGCTGACAAATTGGAACAAGTTCAGAAAAGGGCAACAAAGATAATCAGAGGGCTGGAAACCAAGCCCTATGAGGAAAGACTTAAAGAATTGGGCATGTTTAGCCTTGAGAAAAGAAGACTGAGGGGTGATATGATCACACTTTTCAAATATTTGAAAGTCTCTCATACAGAGGAGGGGCAAGATCTGTTCTCAGTCATTCCAGAGTGCAGGACAGGCAACAATGGGCTCAAGTTAAAGGAAGCCAGATTTTGGTTGAATATCAGAAAAAACTTCCTAACTGTTATAGGAGTATGAGAGTGGAACCAGTTACCTTGGGAGCTGGTGAGTGCTCCAACACCGGAGGCATTCAGGAAAAATTTAAATAAGCACCTGGCAGATATGCTTTGATTGTATTCCTGCACTGAGCATGGGGTTGGATTTGATGGCCTTATAGGCCCCTTCCAACTTCACTATTCTATGATTCTATGATACCAGCCATGGTAACTGTTTGCCAACTGTCTTGCACATATTCAGCTGTACTCCAGTTGCATAGTAAATGAAGGAGGGAAAGAAGGAAAACTGTCAGGACAATTGTCTAAGGCAGTGGTCCCCAACCTTGGGCCTCCAGATGTTCTTGGACTTCAACTCCCAGAAATCCTGGCCAGCAGAGGTGGTGGTGAAGGCTTCTGGGAGTTGTAGTCCAAGAACACCTGGAGGCCCAAGGTTGGGGACCACTGGTCTAAGGAGAAAGGTGAGGTAACAATATTTTAAATAAAATAAATACTCCACTGGAAATAATGAACTTTGGGGGGCAATGAAGCTGAAAATCTGTCTCGTATATCTTCTTGATTTGTTTTCAGCCAGAATTTCCACGTCAGACTGAGAGCCACAGGTCCATGTTACTATCCACATACAACTCTGACATGCTGTACCAAGCCAAGCGCAAATGCAACGCCTCCCAGGAATTTGATATTGATTTGTATGAAGGAGAAGTGGTGGCTGTGCTAGAGCAGAAGGACCCTTTTGGAAGTACCAGCAGATGGCTTGTTGACACTGGAAGTAAGTTCTTGGCAACGGTAGCCAGAACAGCAGCTGGCTTTTAGTTATGCAGATTATAAAACCGAGGTGTGTCCTTGTAAGCTCAGCGTCTTGTCTCCATTTAAGGCAAATGGAGTGAAATGTATGTTTGTATATGTGCACATGTACACTTCTCCTTTCAACAACAATATGCCCCAGCATCCTCCCCAGACACTACATGGAGCTGCCATGCCAAGAGAGGGGGCTGTCTGAGCTGCTGCCATCAGACCAGGGGCAGTTACATTACCAACAACAGGGACTTCAGTAAGTCCACCTTCCTCAGGCCATGTCCTGGAGATGAATAGCAGCATAGTGTTTATTGAATACTGCCTTATTTTAAAATATCCATATATAACCAATACCGTGCTGCTTGAACCTGTGCAATTCAATGCAAAAGTGTAATTCTCAAAAAAGTGTTGTTTTTTCCACTTGGTTGTGTCCCCACGCTTAGTTTTGAAAGGATACATTTATTCCTCCTTCTTGAAACCCTACAATCCGGCAAAAGCTCAAAAGGAATCGGGAGAACCTGGGTTTTGTGATGGCGACTTTGACAACATCAGCCTTTTTGTTTCTTCACGGCAACCGGATGACAGCGTCATGAAATCTGCTGGCCATAAGAGAAGCAGCAGCGTCTCCTCCTATAACAGCCTGTGTGAAAAGACATCAATTAATGGGACAGAAGGGGATAGCTTCTATGAAGCTGATGACCAACATGTGAGCATGATTTCTTTATTCAGGGTGAAAGAAAAAGAAAAATAGCTATAGGCCAACCTGGAATCATTAGGCACCCCTCCAGGCATGGGGTCCCTGCTGACCTTCAGAAACTCCTGCCCCTTTCCTTCTTCTCCTTAATTCAGCTGCCTGATCTTCCCCTACTTCATAATCAATGGTTTCTAGGGTTACTGAGGATTAAGTATGAAGACCTGACATTTAGAGACTCGGGGAAGAATTCTGTTGACCATCAGCAGAGTATAAGGCTCTGCTGGCGATAGCTCTGCCTATGTTCCTCTTTATCCCTGTAGAGCAAATAGAGATCAAAGAGTTCACCCACTGACAATGGGGCTTCTGCTTGTAGTGGTGGGGGGGTACAGGATAACGTCAGTAGTGGACTGATCTGGCCCAAGTATTGGACAAGGTCCATAATTGTTTTTTTGCAGGAGCAATGCTGTGTGAGCAGAATTACCAAAGGTGATTCTATTATTGGTGTTGATTTTTTAAAATTTCCTGTATTGTTTTATTGCTAATGTGACATTACAGAATCCCACATAAACACACTTCAAAAGACTCAGAATACATATAGTGACCCAAATCCTATAGTGAAGTTATACAAAAGGCATAATTTTTAGCAACAAGTTGATGTAAACTATGAAATCTCTATTGGCATTATCAGATGTTAGGCATGGGACTTTCAAGTTGTTGTTTTTCCCCACTAAAGCTAGCAGAATTTATTAGGAATTCTTCCAGCTAGAATTCTTGTAGCTTTAGCCAAAACACTCAAGTCCTCAGAGGAGTTCAGTATATATATGTATGCCTTGCCAAGTCTCTCTCTGCAGCAATGGCCATTAAACATTGAAAAGAAGGACATGGATGGAGCTTTCTAAGCCACATGGGAAGTGCAAGGCATTAGGGGACTGGTAGTTTTTTTTTAAAGGCACTCTCTGCAGAGCCTAATAGACAGAGAGACTATCAATCTCCTAATGTCTTGCAGTTTCCATGGAGATTAAAATGCTCTTCTCATGCCCTTCTCCATGCTTAACGGCTGTTAAAACATGTGATCTGTGTATACAGTATACTGAAACTCTTCTGTGGACTTGGATTATTTTTGGCTAAAGCTACCAGAATTTGAGCTGTAAGAAATCTTGATGAATTGCGGTAACTGTAGTGAAAAACTCTGAAAGTTCCATGCCTATGCATTGTATACTGAGTTTTATAGTTCAGAGTGCAACAGATAATGCCAAAAATTCTAGAAGTAATGAATGACTTCAACTTGTTATCCTAAGAAAATAATGGTCTTACTGGTTATTACAGTATTTCATCATAATAGCATTATTTCATCAATTCCCAAAAATAATAGATTACTTTTAACATTGTTATGACATATTAGTCCAAATCTAATAGTGTCCTGCTTGGTCCTACTGTTTCCCTGAGGACTTACAATCCCCTCTCCCTCCTGCCAACCCCATGTGCAGCTATAAACCTACTAGAGAGGACTGGGAAGCCTTCTAAAGCAGTTATTTTTAGCATCATGCAAGGTGTTATGGGAGGGGGAGAAAGTCCTATTCCACTGGCACTAGAAACTAAAATAAATCATCAGAGCTCGATTATTATTGCTAACTTCTGATCCATCATGATGCTGCAAAAGGCCTCCTAATAGTTGGGAGGGGTGTAGGAGAGACACAGACAAGTTGAATTGCTAACTTCTGATCCATCATGATGCTGTAAAAGGCCTCCTAATAGTTGGGGAGGGGGGTAGAAGAGACACAGACAAGTTGATCTTGATAATTCATTGTTATTGCTTGCCAACCAACAGTTGGTTTGGATATTCCTTAGCATATGCAATTAATCTGATTTTCCAAACCAGAAATTCAACACACTAGTTTAGGTGGCCTCTCTGAGTGGATATTATTCACTTTCCTATTAATGCTGAAAGGATGACTAGGATCAAAAATTAATTTTCTGTTCACCTTTCACCCCCAGACATTCTATGCAGTCCACCCATTTCAAGCAAGGAGTCAACAGGAACTCAGTCTGCAGGAATATCAGCGAGTTCGGATTCTACATTTTTCTGATCTGAGTGGCAATAAAGAATGGTGGTTAGCCGAAGTGAAAGGACAAAAAGGATACGTACCTGCTAATTATCTTGGGAGGATGACTTATGCTTGAACTTCAGAAACACTTATGAGCCCTAATTTCCCCAAAAACTACAACCAGGAGACCTCTGTTTTATTTGTTTTGAAGATGAATGCCCTCGTCTGTTCTAGAAGGCTTCGCGAGATAAAGACCATCAAAAGCTGGGAGCTGAAGATCTTGTGGAATGTTTTTTTAAAAGATCATTTCCAGTTCCTGCCTTTAAATGCCTTTTCCTCTATCCCAAAATATTAACGGCTTGGACCAGTGGATTGCCTTTATTGCATAGACCAACTCTGTGTCAATTCAGATCAAAGCAGGTACTATAGTTCTAGCTCAAGTGTGGAAGTCTGTAGGCTGCATAGCCCACCTCCCACACAAGATAATCTTCATGCCTTTGGACATCATTGTTGTCCTCTCTCCAAATGTGCCAAAAAAAAAAGAATGATTGGTTCTGGCATCATCATCCTGGAAGAGTGCTTCTCTTACTAAACAAGGTACAGCATCTTAGTCACACACAACTCTATTTTAAGGTCATACATCAGTATCTTATTGAGCTTCTGCTGAGCAGAAAATCAGGCCAGCACAGTCATGCAGGACTCCATCACTTGCACAAGTCTTTCTGTTGTTCAAGCTGTGGTCTCCATGAAGAACCCCCATCCTCTGCTTGCACCATGGCAGCACTTGGGCAAGTGCCCCAATCTCATTTTACTATCCTGGCAAGATGTTATGCTCAGCAGAATTGCAACAGGATAGTGGGCCAATTAAACATTTTTAGGAATTGGCCTTCTAGTCATTTCTAATTTTATCTTTTCCATTTATTTTTAAGCTTGGGAAATTAACTCTGTGGATCATGGAGTAAGAAACTGGTCCTCTGCTTCAGAGAACTTCCCCATGTCTATTCTAAGGATATTAACACCACTGACTCAACCACGAGGGATCCTGGCCATTGCAAATGTAATGGTAATCACAAATCAGTGGCTTAAAAAAATGGAGGAGTAACATCGTTCATGCAGAATTATGGAAAACAAACTACAACTATGAAAGAGGGGGAAGATACACACCAAAGGCATTTTCTTTCACAATTTCAAAGTCTTCCTGTAATTTGCGAAACAAACAAAACATCACAGCTCACAAAATATTTTATTCTGAGTATTTTAAGAACTAACAAAGTAGAATGAGCAGAGAAAACAGTCTGCAGGTGCTGTCTAGGATCAATCTTATAAGGCACAAAACATTTCATCATAGGGCCAAACTCAGCAGTTACTTTAGAAGTTCAATAGCCCTTTCAGCATGCATAAAACCACATTGGACAGCATTGCAAAATCAGAAGGGATATGCTAGATACAACAGTTTTGAACTGGAGGTTTATTGGTCAGCCTCTTACACTACCACACACATATACACATCAACTTGTTTCTTGTAGAGGGAGGCACACATCTTCTGGTTAAGCATTTGTATTTTCTGCTCAACCAGTGTTCTTCCTGTGCCAATGAAGGCCAACTTTGTAAATAATGTCCTTAAAAATAATTTTTTAAAAATCGTGTAGCATGAAATGTCATCATGCTTAGTTTTTCGAAGCTATGGAGTTCATGCAGTATAAGAACTATGTACTGAACTATAACCACTGCGATCTTTTGCACTGTATTTATATAGTGAATGATTTGTAATGAAGAATCAAGTAGAGATGGGGATATTCGTATACAAATACGGATACCCCCATTTCTAATTAGAAGTCCTTTGCTAGAAGATTTGCACTGTATTTATATAGTGAATGATTTTTAATGAAGAATCAGAAGTAGAGATGGGGATATTCGTATAGAAATACGGATACCGCCATCTCTAATTAGAAGTCCTTTGCTAGAAGGATTTCTCCGCCATTTTTGGTGCTGTTGTTAATATGGCTTGTATTTCAAACTGTTAAAACAATCTCCCCACCAGGAGTAGCTGAACTGCGTGTGGAGCATGCAAAGCACGCAGTGATGAAGCTTTTTCATTCTTGAGCAGGGCTGGATGATCTTCAGAGACCTCATCCATCAACTTTGTAGGGCTGCACTGACACAACCATTTGTGACTCTCAGCCCCTACTCTTTTCTTTAAAAAACTGGTGTTTACTGGAAAAAAACCTTTTTGTGATCAGAAATAATTAAAACATTTCTGAAAAAGGACATATGGGTCACTAGGGTTCTGCTGGATACCCTCAAAATATGACAAAATATGCCTTCTGGAGGGTGCAAGGGCACTTTCTGATCCATTTTTCTCTGAAAGAAATCTTAAAAAGTGGTGCAGGGGTGTTGCATGTTGCCCGTCCCTGTTTTAAGAGAAGGATATAATGCTACTTTAATTGTATTTATTATTGTTTTGCATGTGGCAGAGAAAGATAATTTGGAAGGGTTTTGACAACTGAAGGACGACGTATGAGAATGAGAATGAGTATAACAGTATATCTGAGACACCAATGATTTTCAGAATCTGTATTGAGGTGTCTAAAGAGATTTTCAGACCACAAGTCACATTTTTAGCGCTTAAATCAACAAAGATCGACAAGCCCAACCCCAAACAAACTCTTAGGATCCAAGATTTTAAAAAAATTAAGTTGCATAATGAAAATGTTTATTTTATTTCAAATTGGATTAAGAAGGTATTTCCTTTCAAAGACACCAAAGCTCCAATGTTAAGCCTTAATTTTTAAAATCTCCTTGCTAGCCATTGACAAATGAAGCCCCAAATTTTGTTTCTTTGGTTTACAGTGTTCAGTCTAATGATGAGGAAAACGTAAACAAAAACCCTCTTTCTTGGTCATTAAAAGGTACACTATAGGAGCCTTCCCAGCAAGTGTGGCAACCCTGTACCAGTATCAATGTCCTACGTAAATGGGATTGTGGTAAACCATGACTTCAGTTTGTGTTGCAGGCTGTAGTACTACAGTTTAATTTGGGGAACTGAAATTCCAAATAGCAGGCACAAATGTCACTAACATGAATGCGATCAATGCCAAAGTATAACTGTATTTGTACACAGCTCTTCTTCAGGGGGGTTTCAGATCAGAGTACACTATACTGTATGCTGCACAATAACTCCAAGTAGAACAGATTGCTATCAAAATATTGTTTGAAAGATTATCTTTGATAAGACAATGTCTGAATATAGTTCCTAATTCAGATGACACATGAGGAATTTAGGCCAAACTCTTTTCCTCATTTACTTTGTCATCCAAGTGATCTCTAAGATTGCTATTTTATTGAAAATGTTTCATCAAAACAGAAACTTTTCCATTGCAAACTATTGTTGGGCATGTCCTATGACCAGAGATGTGTCTCTGTGAATTACAAGTACAGCAGTATCAGTGACCCACATATACATGTTTTAATATTACTTAATAAAAATATTTTATAACTATATGTTCATGATTTGCCTTGTAATTATTCTCATTGAACATTCTGTTAATGGCCACAGATTTCAAAATCTATCATAATGACAGCAAAATAGGTTTCCAGTCTTATAACTGCAAAAATAAGAAAAACGTATTCTAGGAATTTACAGGATTTTTTTTCCAAAACTCATTAACACTCTGAATTTCCATGCTTGACCCTTTTATGCAGCTATTATCTCCCATCATTGAACCATCTTATTTTCCCACCATCCCTTGATTTCTTAATCTGGCATAAGTATAATGTAGAATTTTTGGATAATGTACTTAAGAAAGGGGGGAAAACAAAATAAAAAAATAAAAAATAAAGAAGACAAAAACATATGCCTGAGGAAGTGGACTTGTCTTCAAAAGCTCACATTAAAATACAGCAGTTACTCTTTAAGGTGACACAGCATTTTTTCTTCATTGTTGTTTATATTTCTCCTGCTTTTTGCCTGACACATAAAATCGAAACACTGATGCGATGTTTGTGTTAAAATGAAAGCAGAATTTCCACAAATGTGAAAGGTTTGCATTAGAAAAATAACATTTCTGGATATAACGCAGTAGTTCTGAAATATATTGAGAACACAGTATCTGAAAAACCAGCATAATGTACCTCTCAGATACCATCACCAAATAAAGACATCAGTTTAGAAGTAAATTAAATGATTTTATTACTTTTTGTTTAACTAAGGCCAGAGTTTAAAGACCTTTGTACTTTGAAGACAAAGCAGTTCATTAAACAATTTTAAAATTTTATGTAAGTCCAGTTACTTTTTCAATTTCTTCTGAGCTGCCTTCTTCTTAACCATCTGCAATCTTTTCATAGCATTGAGTTGTGATTCTTGTGATGTAGGACCCTTGAGAGATGGGGACTGATTGCCGGATTCTCCACTCGATTTACTAGTATTGCTCCCACTGCTACCTGTTGTTCCAGCACTTCCATTTCCACCAGCAGTTTGGCTACTGACTGGAGCTGAACTGCTTGGACTAGGGAGCCCTATTTTGCTTACATTGTCACTGCTTACAGAACGACAAAGGCCCGTTTTCCCCAATGTCAGAGGTGGCAAGGGCTTCAGCTGAACAGGGCTTGTGCTGCTGTTAGACGATATTTTGGATCCTAGCCCTGCTTTAGCTGTTGCTAACCCTGATAAACCCACAGGTTTTTGGTTATTTGAGGCAGTCGTTGGCTTGCCACTGGTACTCTGGGTTGTGGATCCCAGCTTGGCTGTTGATGGACCTGCAGATGATGTTTTTGCTGCAAAAGCTGCCCACCCCGTAAGGCCACTGGTTGAGGATGAAGAAACATTGGCACTGGCAGAGTTACCAGAAATAGTGGCTGAAGGCTAAAATAAAACAGAAATAAACTCTACATTAGTTATACTTGGTCCTAACCAGACAGAAACTAGCACAAATAATGGGAGAGCCATGAATGTCAAATTCCTAGCCCAACAGAGATGATCTAATATATTATGTCAAATTACCTTGATTTAAAAAAGAAGTAAATAAACCAAAGACACATAAACACATGTATGGTCTAGTTCTTCAGATAAAGCAACACCTAAGCTTTCACCTTGCCCTAAAAACTAAGTAAGTACCATATGGCACAATGATCCTCACATTTAAACATGGCAAGACATTCTGGATCTATTAAAAGAAACTTCAGGACTTGTGAAATGAAAAAATTACCCAGCAGAATCCACCACTATTTAGGTTGTTTCTGGTTACCTGGAGTTGCTATGAGCAGGACAAGAAACAATTAATTACACAAACAAGATGTTTTCACTAAAGCTACATAATCTATGGTAACAAGTTTAAAAGGAGTCCATTTAGAGAGGTATGGGTGACCAGTGCATGTCCTAGCTTCTGATATTAGTTCAAAAGACACTACAGTGATTATTAAAAAACAAACACTTCATTTGCACTGCAGCTCACCATAGATCACACAAGATCTGTGCTGCACAAGTACTGTGAAGATTAATGGAAGATGGGAAAGAGCACAGAACTTTTTAGCTATTTTGTGCCCATTTCAAAAGGGAACTATAAACGTTTCTCATAATCTACTATTCAAAATAATAATGGACACACACACTGATTTAGAAATGGTTTTTCTAATTCTAATTACAAAAATTAGATCAGGTTTAGAAAATTCAGCAACGTCTCTGTCACTTCCTCCAAGTTTTTCAGCCTGGATCCAAAACTGTCAATATGCTCAGTCCATTTAAAACCTTGAGCAAGAACCAATCCTATCCCTCCTTCTGCAGGCAGATTCTCCCTTTTTGGTCCCATTTATCCCGTTGCTGCAAAAGGCCAGTTTACATGCTCGCTATGCACAGTCATCCCCATGAGTTGAGACAGTGTTTGCTCCACAGGTGGCACCATAGACTCTCCTCTAGTTCTGTGGATATCAGAGCAGGTCACTTGCATTCTACAATATACTTCCCTAAGCATGAAACCCCATGAAAGTATGCTGGTGGGCTTTTCACTATGATAGCATTACATTCAATCTTACCCTAAGTACTGGCTGCACTAGATTGGCAATGTTTCCTTTTCTTACATCTTATTTAATCAAATTTAATGCAGATGTTTTCTATGAGAAACCATTTAAAAATTAAATGCAGACTGATTTCTATACTATAAAGGAGATTAATGATTTTTCCCCCTGAGAATTTGGAATCCAAACAAAAATATATTCTATCATCTGTGCAGAGTGACAAAAAAGGGGGGGTAATTGTGTTAATTATGCACTCTAAGTGAACGGAAGGCAGAAGCCCATATAAAATATAACATGTATGATTTTTTTCCACAGAACATGTTATGTACAGCACCTTGACCTCTGTCCTCTTAAATGCTAGGAAGGTTGTTGGGGTCTCCAACTTTTGCTTAATTTCTGGTTTCTTTATCAGTGGATCTTTCACAGCTGGAACTACTGAAACTACAGCAGGAGTTGGTTTCTGGGAAGGCTTCTGTGTTTTCTGCGCCTGTATGAATTACATACATACTTCTAAATTATCATTCTGAATTTGAGAAAAAGTGAAATCAAAACTAAAAACTTTAGCAATGACAAACAAAAATATGGCGGATACTTGAATATGTAACAGCTAAATTCAAAATAAAGGAGAAGAGTTTGTATGCAAGAAAGGTAAAATGAAGATGTATGTGGAATCTGAAACTATGGAAATAAACATTTGAGATGCAGGAAATAGGGATTCAGTGAAAGAGCAGACAGAATGACAAGGAAAACAGAGAAAGAACATGTCAGTAAGGTGGAAGTATTTAGCCAAAATAAACTAGAAATGAGAACAGTTAATTCTGATATATTTAGTCTTCTTTTGGTCCTGATTACAAAAGTTATTATGTGGCAAAATGTAACAGTCATATAAATCCATCGTTAATAGAGAAACACAAATTGAATAGTCTGCTTATTCATGATTTTAGCACTGCATCCTACTACTATGAAATAGCATATGTTATCTAAGTAATGCATGCTTATCTACAAGAAAAAGTCATTTTTTTTCTTTTCTGGCTAATAAAGTTTTTTTTTTAGTTCTAAAAGTCTTCTGCTCATTTATCAAGCACTAGCTGAAATCCTGTTTCTTAGTGCTATAAATCACACCAGACTTTGCTTATTGAATCAGTGGGGATTGTAGGTTTGAACTGTTTAATATCTTTCAGAAAGACTTAGAAAGGATCTGTACTGGTAAATGGTAGAGGCGGAGAATCAAATTTGGTTTAGTATTTGCCAAACTAGATCTCGGGGGCGGGTGTTCATCCGATCCTACTTTTGGGCTCTAAAGGTACACGGGGCAAAACATTTGCGGATATGTGGATTGGATGGGCCTACAGATATACAAATGGGTCTATGGAGTGGATTACCAACCTCTGGAATGGTCTGCCTATGGAATAGCATTGAGAAAATCTTTGTTTGCTTTCATAAATGGCATCACAGATTGTTTTCTTTTGGCAAAAGGGGTTGAGGATTTCTCCCAGCTTGGATTTTTACATGATGGAATGAGCAAAAAGATACATAATTGCTGTGGCAACAAGGTTTTAGCAAACTGGAATACAACAGAACTGTATGAAGTTGTCTTAAAAACTGGATACTTGCAGGGATTTGGTGAATCAATGCCTGTGTAAATTCTACAGATTCAAATGGGTTTACTCCAGTTGCAATTTACTATGCCAAGAAACAAGATTTCAGCCATTATCTCCTAATCTGCTTATCAAATGGAAAACAAGAATTACTATCTCTTTTCTCTTTTTTAAAGTTACTTAAGATACTGTATTTGTTTCTCATAGTAGAATGCTCATTCTGTTAACCAAATTTTACTACTGCAGAACTGCAAGCTCTTTTACTTGGGAAAACAACAAATAGATCACATGAAAATAAAGGCTGTTCCCAGAGATATGCAGTACAATTAAAAAAAAAAAAAAACTAAAGCAACCCCCCTACCAATCTGTTATCTTTTATAGGAGTTAAAGATACATAATTTTGGGCAATATATGTTACCCTTTCTTCATGAAACAATATACACTAGAAAATAACTCTTTCAGGATGTATGAAAAAGGATTAGATTTGTCATACATTTACTGAGCGAAGTTGCTTATTCCTGGGCTGTGATAATCTTGTCTGACCTTTAAAATTTATATGTGTGTATATATATTAAGGACATTTCCTTACTTTACAATAAATTAAAATGAGGATAATAATCCCACATCAACCCTCCTCCCAAATCCAGTACTGTATAGTACAAGACTATACTTCTTTCCAACTACTCTTTTTTTATATTTAGTTCATAAATCTGTTCCTTAAACAGACCAAATAATATTTATCTGCATGTATTGATGATTATAGCCTCTTTCACAAAGCCCCTTACCATTTTTTTCATCTGCCTAGTACATCGAGCACAATACCAGACTAGGCGGGGATCATTCATTTCCTTGTCTGTCACTTGAGGCTTGTGGCAGTCTTGGTGATAGAGATTATGGCATTCTTGACACTCAACTAATGGATTTCCAGAAGTAACTGTCATTTGTCTGCAAAGAACAAAGTGTCCATCCCACATTAACATGATTGCATGAAATTTTGGCCATCCTAATGTTTTCTCCCTTCATCAAAACTTCAAGAATTAGCCTTAAGAAGCTTACAACCATCTCTGAAATTGGACATGAACAACAGAAAGGAAAACAATACGATATACATAGTTGTGGACACAGGTTTGCGTCTACCAACTTCATGCAGCAGGCTCACTTGTCTTGATTCTGGTGTCAAGGTATACCAATTCATAAATATTATATTTGTGTAGGGCCCAGAAGAATAGAATCCAATTTACATTGTCCAAACCACAGGACTAGTATCTCATATAACAGTTGAAGAGCATATAATTCTATTTAGGCCTATGCATACATTACCTAGCCAAATGTTACACTACTACATCCGAGTCTGTTGGCCCCTGAGACTGTTAATACCTGGTGGCTGAGAAGGCAAAACAAAAGCATCTTGCCCTATCTCATATCTAGCCTCTGACTGTCAAGAAATTAACCCCGTCAACATAATTGTGAGTGTAATTCGTTTAAAGACTGAGACCAGATATTTAGAAGAACAAAAGGAATAGGACCAAAAAGAGTACAAAAAGCATTTACTTGTGGAGATCAGAAGGACCAAATACTTAAAAAAAAATCACAGAAAGACATCAAAGAACAAAATGTTTGCTCTGGATGTGAAAAAGGAAAGCAATTATCAAATTATCAAAAGTGAGATTTCAGAAGAAATTTTGATAGGGCACTCAAGCACCAAACACAGCAAAAAAAAAAAAAAACACAAAAAAACAAAGTGATCTGCTGTGAAGTTGCACCTGGGAAGTAGAATTTCCTTGGGTGAATTCACTTTAGTGAACCATGGAGTCAGCAGAGAGAGCAGAGGGAACTGCCAATCTGAACTTGTTGGCTTTTTGTTAAAGTGGCTCTACTGCAGCTGTCCAGATATGCAGGAGGCACAGCTATCATAACAAGTTGCTAATAAGAGCTGGCTACCAATTTCCTCGTCTATTTCCTCCGTGTTCACTTTTTTCCATCCTTTGGTCTTCAGCTGCTCTAGTGCATCAGCACTGCACCAAGTGATTAGGGAGAAAAATAACAATCTGAAGGATGGTTGCTTGAGGGGAAGTGACACCCCCACGAATGCCCCTTTGCTTTTTCTCTCCCCACCTAAAACTAGGAAGCTGGGAGGGCCAATTTGTGGTTGCTCATTCATTGCATTACCTCAAACAATCACATTGCCTGAACCAATGCAAATGCATTTCGTTCTTTTTAAAAAGTAGAGGAAAAATGTAAGGATTTGGGCCAGCGGACTCTGGGTTGATTTGCATGGACTTCTACATCATGTATTGTAGACAATGAAAAATAATACAAATCAGGCCACTGCAATCCTTGAATATTTCCTGCATTATTTGTTAATGCAGGTGCACCCTGAGTGATACAAATTATGGAAAAAATACAAAAAATGTTTTATAGTTGTCACAGACTATGTTAAGTGCTTCATTTTCACTGGCTAGGAATAAAAAATAGTTTAGAATAAGAAGGTAAGGGGGTCAGAAAGCATACTCTGACAACTATGACTTAAAAGATATAACCATGGATGTATACTATCTTGTGTTGGAAAAATGTATAAAAACCAATTTAGTGAATGGAAATAAATGGAAATACGCCTCTGAGTCAGCAAACTATTACCCTAAAACTTCTCCTTTCACATGAAAAATCAGAGTACTTAATTGCTAAGCTGCGCTCACACATATCCCCATGGTACAGGTACGCAGGTAACCATGGAAACTCTATTTGCAGATGAGTATGGAGAAGAAATATGCAATTCCTTTATTTAATAGGAAAATGAAGACTGAAATTATTGTCCAGATGGCTTTGGAAGAACTTAATTTTGTTGAATGCTGGTGGATTTAAACAAGAAAATGAGGAGCAAAAATCAGCAATTCTGGAACATGTGCCCTATGATTCAGAATAGATTTACCAAGGAGAAAGAACATCTGATTTCAGTGAATCTTATTCTCTAGTAAATGTACTGTACTTAGAATTCCAGGCTTATATCTAAAATGTAAGACACAAATTTTTAAAAAGCCATTTTGACCAGAAAAAACCTTGCAGCTAAATGTCAGGAAACTGTCTAGTCTCCATAAATCTAGTTCATATATCCACAAGTGACTACATTTAAAAACAAAATGGAACACAAGCATTTTGTATGAAAAAAATTATCAGACCTTAATGACATTTGAAGATAGTTCCAAAAAGAAAACAATCCCATGTTTTTTTTAAAAAAAATAAAAAGTATGAAGTTTAATAGATATATGATACAGCAGAATTCTTGGGGAGGTACGTAGGTTCCTCCATGGCTCATAAATACTCCATTTTGATACAACTGGAACTTGAAAATCATAGACAACCTTTTGTTTTTAAATATTTACCCACAACAGCTAAACACTGATACACATTTGTTAAGCAAAATAATAAACACTTGTTAAACAATGTATCTTTCAAGTATTTACTTTCTGACTGCCCTAACAACTGTTTGATATGTTTTCATTCTTCTACCGATAGTCTGATGTATCTGGTCACCACGGCTATATTGTATATTATTACCACACACAAGTTAGAATTAGGGCCCTTATTTGGTGTGTATGTATGTGTGTGTCTGCATGTACGCTACAACATTATTAACTAGAGGGGGCAGAACACTGATCATTTTATTAAAAGCTATCAACTGAAAAAAATCTGTAGAAACACACTGCCGTGAAATAGAAGATTGCTTCTCTGCACAGGTCTTAATTTTTAAAAGCTGAAAAAAAGACTGCCATCCAAAATTATGGGCTTAGTTTGAAACATTTTAAACTGTAATACACATAACTCATAACTTATAGCAAAAGTCTTTGATCATATGAGTCTTGGACAAAATCACTATAAACATCTAAACGATGAAGACCTGTACTCAGTAGAAATGCCCAGTATTACTTAACACTAGGTCCAAATTTATTGACTGTTAAAAAATGTAATTTGTTGCAGATGTCAAATTTAGATAACTCACCGACAAACAACACATGCCAAGCCCATCTCCATGGCAAAATCATCAGCACTCGTCTCTTCAAAACTGGATAGGTCTGCCATGGGTAAATCCTTGCTAGTCTGCACTGTAATTGGTGATGAATGCGTCTCTGGCTTTTCTAATCTCGGCTTCTTTGGAATGTCAGCTCCTTCACTGATTTCAAGCTTTATCTATTAAATGATATACACATAAGAAGCTGGTAAAAACATGAAACCTTTGAACAAGTAAATAAAACCACATTGGAAGTTGCAGCTAGTAAATGCTACAAGGCATATTTAAAAGTTATTAATGAACACAGTATATTTTATATTCATTAACAACATAACTATATCTAAAATTATAGAGAATGTATGGTGCTATAAATGCTACAGGTAAGAAATGTGGTAATATAAAACATATTAATTAGTATTTTGACCGGAATGAAGTGTATTGATAAATCAAAATCTGAATGATGTGCTACTGTGGCTAAAGAATGAGATATAAGTGCCGTTGAGATTTTTAAGACAGGAAATTTAAAGCAGTTAAATCTGCTTAATCTGATCTGTACAGATCCTATGATTTAGACATTTATTCATATTTTGCAACTTCATTTCAAAAATAATCTTCTGCATTAAATATCCCAAAAAGTTTGCAGGCCTGTTAAGTAAGCATAATCATGAATTAATAACAAGAAAATATTTCCAGCTTCAAAAAGATACCGTACATCTTTATAAGAATCTTCTAGCATTTCCAACAGGTCAATGTTATTACCCATACTTTAAAAGAATCAGGAATTGGTTTGTGTAAGGCAATGATGAGTAATTTTAGGGGGTCTGGGAGGTATTTTATATCCCCCAGGACTGTTGTGTGATGGTGGGGCTTTTCCAGAGCTCACACAATTAGGGATCCAGTGCTTCCTTATGTAAATGTAAAGCCCACTGGAATCAACAGGAGTGATCTCTAACCTGCACAGTGGAGCTTGTAGGAACTCTACAAATGGAGCAATTTACTCTGTCCATGGTAAACAATTTACTGGTTCAAATCTGTATGTGAACAGGGGAATGTAGTTTTCAAGTGCACACAACACTTTTTACTTTTACTCCACTGAATAAGTAATATATGGTGAAGAAAACTAGTAAAACTACTCAAGGATTAAGCCTATGTGAAAAGCAACAATAATAAAATAGGCACATTATTCACATATATATAATATTTAAAGACTCTGAAGACATTTCAAGTGCAACAATAAAACTTACTTTATCAGCAGACCGCTTTTCTGCTTCCTTTTTCACCTTTTCGGCAGCAATGAGCTTGCCATTATTGCTACCTGTTGGAATGCCTGAAGAAGCCTTGGGTTCTTGCTTAACAGAAACTGGTTTTGTAATAGAAACTTTGGGTTGATCTACTTCCTGCATAAAGCATAACAAAAATGCTTCATTAAAAATAATACTGGAAACAGTGGCTACTTCTGAAATCACAAAGCTAAATAAATACCACATTGCAGAAATGATGTAATTTAAAATCTTACTTCCCTAAACTGCTAAACTAAGGAAACAGAAAGGAATTCCATTAAAACATGCAGTATGGCCACTTAAGAACATAGAAATATTGGACAGTCCCAAGCATCATAATACTTAACATACTTCTTGAACCAGATTAAGGCAAACAACTTGTGGCCCTCCAGGTCTTTCGAAGCTGCAATTCTCATCAGCTGTAGTCAGCATAGCTAATGGTAGGGGATGATGGGAATTGCAGTCCAACAACATCTGGGTGATCACAATTTTGTACACAGATGAAAAATGATGTCTGTGTGTTCTCTCTGTCAACATTATGCAAATCTCTGCTACAGCCCAGCACTTGTAAATGAGAAGAACACTATGCACTCCGGATGGATCACAATAGAATGGATTCACTTTTCAACACTATGTTTAAGAGTACAACCATATACTTTTTTTACAAAACAATTTTGAGAGATATCTGAGGTTCCAGCTTCTCAAATGACATATACAAGGGAATAATAAAGGATGGATTAGGCAGAGCAGATAAATATGCAATCATTATAGGAAGTATGAATCACACAAGTCATCAGTATCGTTAAGATCCCTCAACTTAAGAAACTTGATGGGTTATCAGCTGCTGACCTTTATTTACATAGATTTTCAGTCTTTCAGAATAAGATTGTATAGCTTCAGTCTTAAGCATTCTTATGATGAAGCAAGAACATTGAACTCTGTTGGACTTACCTCTGAGTAAACAACTTTTGAATCAGGCTGTAAATATACAGAAAAAATAAAGATAAATACTGATTATTCTAGATTCCCTTAGTGCCTTTTTCTCTGATTTAGAGAAAAAACTACTCCAGGAGTTACATACCACACCTAAAAATTTCCATTTATTACTTCTAGTACCTTCTGCAATGGGCGATAATTTGAATCAGTCCCTCTAGACAAAGATTCATCAAGCAGTGCTTTCAGTTTTTCAGCTGAATCTTTGCTTTTTGAATGCAGAAAGCCCAGAGCTTTCAAGAATACAGGGTCAAGCTCCAAGTTCATAGCAGCAGCCATTGCAGCACCTTTAAATGAAAAAAAAAATAATGAGAAGGGATGACTTGAAATAAACATGTCTCATGAGTCAGTTAATTTTTAGCTAGGACAAAACCATTTCTGGAAACTAAATGCATGTAGCTTACTTTCATGCATTTGGAACCGAACAGACAACTTGTGGCTTACCAAATGTTGTTGAATTACAACTCCAATGATTTCTTACCACTGGTCTCATAACTTTTGGAAGGCCACAAGTAACTCATCTTCGCATAAAGTTTTTTTCGCATAAGGTTTTTTTTTGGAACCAATTAAAAACGTTATGCGAGGCACCACTGTATTATAGGAAGTATGAATCACACAAGTCATCAGTATCGTTAAGATCCCTCAACTTAAGAAACTTGATGGGTTATCAGCTGCTGACCTTTATTTACATAGATTTTCAGTCTTTCAGAATAAGATTGTATAGCTTCAGTCTTAAGCATTCTTATGATGAAGCAAGACTTACCTCTGAGTAAACAACTTTTGAATCAGGCTGTAAATATACAGAAAAAATAAAGATAAATACTGATTATTCTAGATTCCCTTAGTGCCTTTTTCTCTGATTTAGAGAAAAAACTACTCCAGGAGTTACATACCACACCTAAAAATTTCCATTTATTACTTCTAGTACCTTCTGCAATGGGCGATAATTTGAATCAGTCCCTCTAGACAAAGATTCATCAAGCAGTGCTTTCAGTTTTTCAGCTGAATCTTTGCTTTTTGAATGCAGAAAGCCCAGAGCTTTCAAGAATACAGGGTCAAGCTCCAAGTTCATAGCAGCAGCCACTGCAGCACCTTTAAATGAAAAAAAAAATAATGAGAAGGGATGACTTGAAATAAACATGTCTCATGAGTCAGTTAATTTTTAGCTAGGACAAAACCATTTCTGGAAACTAAATGCATGTAGCTTACTTTCATGCATTTGGAACCGAACAGACAACTTGTGGCTTACCAAATGTTGTTGAATTACAACTCCAATGATTTCTTACCACTGGTCTCATAACTTTTGGAAGGCCACAAGTAACTCATCCCTTAAAATGGCTGCAGGGGAGACAAAGTACATATCAACAGAATCCCCTTTTAACACTTGTTACCCTGAGCAATTATACCAAAGGTTGTTAACATTTGTAATATTAAGAGTAAATTAAATTAAACTAAATTAATCTGATGGTGGTGAACAAGCAGTTTAATGGGGTGATCCAGCAGAGAAAAAAGCATACCAGTGTTGCTTTTGGCGGTATGTACAGACAAGTCAATGTCAGAGCAAAATGCACATTAGATTGGAGAGATGTAGTTCTTTATTTATTTTCATAAGAAAATAATTAGGGCTGAACATTTCAACACTAAAAATGATTCAACCAATTGTCTTTTCAAATAATGACAACCGTTTAAAATTTTTATTACATTAACTACCAGATACCTTAATCATTTGATACTTATGATGATTACATAAATGATATATATTTTTAAAAACACCTCATATTTCTTCATATAATGAACGCAAGAGTGCTGGCAAACAAGCTAGAAACAAAGAATATCGGTTTTTTTAAAAAAGGTCATATAATTTTAAATGAAAATCAATATAGTTCTAGAACTAGAATATAATTCTAGAACTAGAATATAGAATTACAGAACTAGAATATAGTTCTACTTCTGTGCTGCAGTGAGTCCTGGACACTTCATGCATGGCAGGAGAGGAAGCTGAACACTTTCCATATGCATTGTCTCTGACGCATTTTTGGTATCACCTGGCAGGACAAAGTTCCAAATAGAATAGTCCTAGAACGAGCTGGAATTTTTGGCACGTATACATTACTGAAACAGGGACGTCTAAGATGGCTTGGGCATGTTGTGAGAATGGCTGATGGTCGGATCCCAAAATATCTCCTGTATGGAGAATTAGTGCGGGGAAATCACCGCAGAGGGAGACCTCAGCTGCGATACAAGGATATCTGCAAGTAGGATCTGAAGGCCTTAGGAATGAACCTCAACAGATGGGAAACCTTGACATCTGAGCGTTCAGCCTGGAGGCAGGCAGTGCATCATGGTCTCTCCCATTTTGCAGAGACCCTTGTCCAGCTGGCTGGGGCTGTCCTAAAAGCAGCAAAATGAGGGAGCTGGACAGGGAACAGACTGTATTTGTCTTCAGTATGGAAGGGATTGTAACTCTCAAATTGGCCTTCTCAGCCACACTAGACGCTGTTCCAAGTACTCCATACAGAGCACATTCCCATAGTCTCTCGAGAATGAAGGATGCCTAACTAACTGAATAGTTCTAGATTATTATTATTTTTTAAATCTTAACAATTACCAATAACTACTACTTAGAAACAGCATCAATTAATCCAAAATCCTTCTGGGTACACAGAGCAGATTTTAACCTGTCTCTTGAAGATACAAAGTGTAAGGACTCAGAATGCATCCCAATGGTTGTATTTGGTAATGTTAGTCTCAACAATAAGGTTCATGGCTGATGCAGGAAATGTATGACTACATCACTCCGACAGATGGTTGTGTTACCAATAAGAGTTTGATGTCATTGACAACATTGTCACTCTCAGTAATTTCCTCCTGACCTCACTGTTTAGAAACCCAACTCCAAATGTACGATACACATACTTAAAATTCAAGACAACATTTTATGTCTTTAGGTAAACTAAAACCTTATCTATAAATCTACTAGCAACCTGGAGGCTAAGTATAGGGTCACCAGGGTCCTTGTGCCTTGAACAGTTGCTTAGAAGAATATTCAGGTGCAGCATTTAACACAATCTACACCTGCTGACATATCCTCATCACACAACTATTAAAGGCTCAAAAATCCAACCTTCTTTTCCCCCTAAAGTTGGGGGGGAGGGGGTCTTCCCTAGCTAGTCTGAAACAAACCTGTCTCAACTGGAATCACAGGCTGCACCTCAACGGATGTTAGCCTTTAAGACATATGTAAATTAACCTATTGGTGGCAACAGTATTGCTTATCATTGCAAGTTGCAACTAGAGTTGTTATGTGCGTCAAGTTGCTTCCAACCTATGACAACCCTATGGATGAACAATCTCCAAAATGTTTTGCCCTCAACAGCCCTGCTCAGTTGTTGCAAACTCCAGCCTGTGGCTTCCTTTAGGGAGTTTGCCCATCTTGTATTTGGTCTTCCTCTTTTTCTGGCGGCCTAGGCCCACTGAATCAGTGAGTTGATGAATCCACTCATTTGTAAGTTCCATTGATTTAATGGGCTTACTTTAGTTGTGATTTACTAGACGAAGGATCCCTTTTGAAGTGGTGCAGCAGCTGGCCACCTGTCAGAGATGAAGGCAGTTTTTCACCAACACTGGCAAGGGTTTGGTCTAGAGTCTAGACCAGTGGTTCTTAACCTTGGTTATCCAGGTGTTTTTGGACTGCAACTCCCAGAAGCCTTCACCACCAGTTGTCCTGGCTGGGGTTTCTGGGAGTTGCAGTTCGGAAACACCTGAGTAACCCAAGGTTAAGAATCTCTGGTCTAGATGAGCTTTGAGATCCCTGTTATCCTTTGTGATTGCCTGCCTGCAGAGTGCTGCCAGCACTTTAAAAGTCCCACACAAGTATATATTTTAACTGTATTTTAATTGTTTCATCTTTTTACTGTATTTTAATTCTAAGCCACCTAGAGACCTTTGGGTAGTGTGGGCTGCATACAAGTTAAATAAACAAACAAACAAATAAAATAAGTTTCAGGTTATTTACCTGACACATCTCTAGATGGCCCTTCCTGTTTTTCAGAGCCGCTGACAGGTGCCTAAACATTCCTATTCCCTGGGGCCACAATAGCAACACTGACACAGGGGCAATGGCGTTCGTGTTATTATTGCGGCCCCAGTCAATAGTAATGCTTACCCTGTTGTGTTAGGGGACAACGGCCTTGAGTGGAGGGCAAGCAGGAGAAGAGGAAACCCAAATAGGAGATGAACTGACTCCCGAAAAGAAGCCACAGGCTTCAAGTCTACAAGAGACATTGTGGAGAAGAAGCGCTCATTCATAGGGTCCGCTACGAGTCGGGGGCGACTGGACGGCACAGAACAGCAACAAGATCGGAAAAGAGCGCTAAAAACGGTCCTTAATTCGCCGTGCGAAACGGGGTGGGGTGGGAAGGGCCACCCCAAAAGAGAGAAGGAGCCTTCTTTTCGCGAGCTCTCTCCTCATACATATAAAGGCACACACGCACCCCGCCTTTATTGCCTGCCATTCATGCTCTTTTGTTTTACCTCAGAGCCGGCGCTGACAGGGAAACCGCATAGCAAGGGCGCTCCCGGTTTTGCCGCCAACCGAAGCGCTCGCACGGCCAGCTCCGGGAGCCTCTCTCATGGGGAAAGCCTTGCTTCTTCTTTTTTTTTTCCAGGAGGCGTCCGACGGCCGGCCGGGCGAGCTCTCGCAAACCCCCGGAAACGACGAGCGGCCGCCGTGACGGAGGAGAGGAAAAGGCGGAGCCTGGAGCTTCGGCGGGCCGGTCCTTGGCTTAGTCGAGTGTCGGGCGAGCGTCGTGTGGAAAGGGCCCTGCGGGAGCGGAGAGGTGAGCCGGGCGCCCGCCCCTGAAGGGCTTCGAAGACTCGGGTTGCTCGTCCTGGGAAAACAGCCCACGCAGCCTCGTCGGGTCCGCCGGTTCCGGCGCGGTCGGTTGGCTTTCTTAAGAATCACGCCGGTGTGAGGGTGGTTTTTTTTTTTTTTGTAGGTTACAGTCCACTTCTTCAAGCACATCGAGTCCAGTATAAAAAATAATTTTTAGAACTGGAATTTTAGACCCTCTGGAGACCCTCGAGTCCTCCAGCTCCTCTCAAGGAGGCACAGTGCGAGAATTGAACTCCCGCCCTCTGGCTCCACAACCAGAGAGATAAACCCCTGAGCTGTCTACGTTTCTGTTTTGGTTTCCACTTGAAAAATCTTTCGTTTCCCATAAGCATACTTATTTATTTAAAATGTTCCCCCCCCTCCTTTGTCCGCTAAAAGGACCCAAGGTGGCTCACATTATTAAAAGACAAGTTAACGCTTACGACAAGGGAGTATACAAATACTATACTAAACATTATTTATTTGTTTATTTAAAATATTTTTATCCTGCCTTTCTCCTTCGAGAGGAATCAAGGTGGCTTCTTTCTAATTAAAAAGACAATATTTAAAAGCTAAAACAGTAAGTATCTAATTAAAGAGAATTAAGCAAGTATTATATTAAAATTGGTAAATAAAATGAACATTAAAACACATTTAAAACAGATCACAACAGTCCATTTTAAAAACCCTCTCAAACTACCAGTCATTAAGAAAATGTTTGCCTGAAGAGAAAGGATGAAAGGAATACCTGTCTTGACCAAACAGATGCTGGTTGATATTTTATTAATGTATTTGTTTTTATTGTACAGTGATGCCTTGACTTATGAATGCCCTGACCTATGAACAAATTGACTTACGAACAGCTCCAGCTGCAAAATTTTGCTTTGACTTGCAGCTGGAGCTTTGACCTACAAACAAAAAAAGGCAGGGGAAAGGCGTGGGAAATTAAAAAAAAACAACTAACCGTCGGTGGTGAAGAGGCTGCTTCTTTGTAGTTCTTTTGTCCCAATGGTTAGGGAGAGGGATGTGGCGATGGTGATGGGGGTCAGGCCGGGAGGCAAGGACCCAGCCCAGCCAGGATTCTTTCGTCCCAATGGTTAGGGAAAGGGATGTGGCGACTGTGATGGGGGTCAGGCCGGGAGGCAAGGGCCCAGCCCAGCCAGGATTCGGCTCCTGGCTGGACTCCGGGAGCCAGATCCCGGCCAGGAGACGAGGACCCATCCCGGCCGGGCAGTGGTGGTGGAGTCCAGCCCAGGCAGTGGTGGAAGGCCGGGTGAGCTACCGGACGGCTACCACTGACAGCGGTCTTGGCGGCGGCGGAGCCCACACGGTGGCAAAGGAAGGCTGGGAGGTCTCCCGAAACCACCATCAGCGGGAGCTGTCCAGGAGTTCACCTGGCCTTCCCTGCCGCGCGGGCCCTGCTGCCACTGAAACCGCCAGCTGGGAGCTCACCTGGCCTTCTCTGCCACTGCGCGGTCCCCGCCGCTACCGCTGTCTGGGAGCTCACCCGGCCTTCCCCGCTGCCACACGGGATCCATCGCTGCCAAAACCACCCCACCGCTGCCAAAACCGTCATCTGGGAACTCACCCGGTCTTCCCCACTGCCGCCAAAACCACCACTCCCCTGCCACCAAAACCACAGTTGGCGGAGGAAGGCCGGGTGAGCTATTCGATGGCTCCCCGCCGACTGTGGTTTCAGTGGTGGCAGGGCCTGCACGGCTGCGGGGAAGGCCGGGTGAGCTACCAAATGGCTCCCTGCCGATGGTGGTTTTGGTGGCGGTGGGGCCCAGGCTAAAAAAAAACAACTAACCGTCGGTGGTGAAGAGGCTGCTTCTTTGTAGTTCTTTCGTCCCAATGGTTAGGGAAAGGGATGTGGCGACTGTGATGGGGGTCAGGCCGGGAGGCAAGGGCCCAGCCCAGCCAGGATTCGGCTCCTGGCTGGACTCCGGGAGCCAGATCCCGGCCAGGAGACGAGGACCCATCCCGGCCGGGCAGTGGTGGTGGAGTCCAGCCCAGGCAGTGGTGGAAGGCCGGGTGAGCTACCGGACGGCTACCACTGACAGCGGTCTTGGCGGCGGCGGAGCCCACACGGTGGCAAAGGAAGGCTGGGAGGTCTCCCGAAACCCCAAAACCACCCCACCGCTGCCAAAACCGTCATCTGGGAACTCACCCGGTCTTCCCCACTGCCGCCAAAACCACCACTCCCCTGCCACCAAAACCACAGTTGGCGGAGGAAGGCCGGGTGAGCTATTCGATGGCTCCCCGCCGACTGTGGTTTCAGTGGTGGCAGGGCCTGCACGGCTGCGGGGAAGGCCGGGTGAGCTACCAAATGGCTCCCTGCCGATGGTGGTTTTGGTGGCGGTGGGGCCCAGGCTGCTGACCATGGCCAGGAGGCTTGAGAGGAGGCTTCGTAGGGAAGTAAGTGTGCTGATTTTTACTGTTTTGGGTGCTTTTGCAGGGTGGGATTGGGCTGGTGGGGTTATGTTTGTATTTTGTTTTATGCAACCCCAGGGGCTTGCAGATTTTTATTTTGGGGAGCAGGCTTCCTTCAGCTGGAACGGATTAATGGGTTTTCAATGCATTCCTATGGAAAATGGTACTTTGATGTACAGTACGAACATTTTGACTTACAAATGCCATTCCAGTACGGATTAAGTTCGTAAATCAAAGCACCACTATAACTTTGTTGGTTTTGAGCTATTGTGCTGTGAAATCTCTAAAATGCGGCATATTATACACTCAGTAAATATCTAAATCTTAGAGCGCAACCCTAAGGTATTGCCACCTTAGGGTTCCTTATTACCATAGATCTGTAAAGCTAGAGATTGGGTGTTTGATTCCCCACTGTGCCTTCTGGGAGAAAAGGCAGCATGTGTAACTGGTCAAGATGTACTGTCCCAGTCCACTCCCAGAAAGAGAGAATGATAAAACACTTCGAGTACTGTACTTTGTGCCTAGAAAATCCTGGATATATATGTATGTTGGAAGTGACTTGATTGCATAAAGTTGTTATTGCTACAACATACATCTTGCCATTGAGAGCCAGTGTAGTGGATACAGTGTCAGAGTAGGACTCAGGAGAGCTGGATTCACATCCTCATTTGGCATGGAAATTGGTGGGTGGGGGGTGAGAGGGAGTGACACTGGAAAACTGCTTCCTAAATATTGACATATCTTGGAAACCTTGCTAGAGTCATCATAAATTGGAACTAACTTGGTGGCACATTAAGTAAATACTACCATTGCAGTTACTTACTATAATAGTAGTCTGAGAAGAGCTAAATTGGCTGCTTGTCTGTGATATTATTTAATCATTTAGTTAGTTTCTGCTGTCAGGCAAAAGCTTAAGTGCATTTTTGTATGGTGTTTCCAAATGTTTTCCTACCAGTAATATGAAATGGGTATAAACAGCACAGAATGGTTGTCTTACAGCTACACATAGAAGGGTACCCAAAAAATATGGGAAAAAGAATTTGATGTGTGACTTTGGTGCAAAACAGCTGTACATTTTTCCCCCTTTGGCTATAGTTTTATGATGTTGTGACTGTGTTAGTTCCTGATTGAATAATACTAGCCTCAAAAAGACTGAAACATACATCATAGGCTTAAAGGGAAAAAAAGCTTTATTTTTTTTAAAATCTCAATTCTTTCTTTAAGGAAAAAAATGAAAGATGTTACTGAAGATCATCTATATCTAGACTACTTTCATCAAAATGAAGATTGTATATTTCCTCTTCATACATCTATATCCTTGTTCCTGTTGTCATACTGTGACTGCAAGATATTTAAAGTCTTTTTAGTATCTCCTACTGAAATACCTCCAGATGGCCATCTTACAGAAGTACTACCAGAGGGCTTGGAAATTTGCCTCATCAAAAGATGTCAGCTTCCTTCAATCATCCAGAACTGCTGTTTACCTGTTATTGTTGAGGAAAATGGAAGATTTTGTCGAGCAGGACTTGCAGTGGTATTGAGACACATAATATATAAAACATATGAAGTAGATCCATCAAAAGAGGATATTTTAGAACTTTTGGGCTTTAAACAGACCTGTTTGAAAGCATGTGCTGAAGTGAGTTTATTTAGCATTTGATTTATGCTGAACTTCAAATGTATTTTTGTTCAGAAAATGATCTCATTTACATTGGACCAATTGTAAGTGATTTTCTAGTATATGAGGGTAAAACAATTACAAGGTTTGAGGTAGTTTTTTGAACAGTTGCAAGAAAACATTGACATAATATATTAATAGATGTTTAAGATGGAATAAATGGAAGGAAATCATTTTATATAGTTCATTGTCAAATGTAATGCCTATGAAGCTGAATATCAATTTGGAACTTATGGTAGAATTTTTCATGTGAATAGCCCAGCCTTGGAAACAGGATTGCTGTCACTAAGGTTTTATACTATATTAGATAATTGAACTTTGACTTATTAAAGGTCTGGAATACTTTGCAAGCAAACTAGGAGAGCCTGGAAATGCATTGTGCCTATTTAATCAACTGATATAGACACAAGTGATCTGTTTTTACTTTTGTACTGTCCCTACCTCCTTTAAATAGTAGCCCCCATACCATTCCACAAAATGCTTTTGATAGTCTTTTCAGCTTCAAAACAAATTTGCCACATTGTTTAGGAGGCTACTGTCTGGGAAGCACAAGCCCAGAACCACTTTGGGTATATGGAGTTAGTTCTTGAATCTTTCCCAGTATGTGTGAGTATCTCTTTATCTCTGATTGTCATGGAAGGAACTGGACACACCTTGTAACATGTTTTAAGTTTTCAATAATATTGACTATAATTTACTGGTTTAAGTTTTCAGTAATACCACCAATAATTTGGCCCTCAGTTGACTGATTCTGTTCTTTTACAGGTTAGTGAATGGACCAGACTTTGTGAAATCAGCATTCCTCAGGCAGTAGAAAACGTTTTGGGAGTACCTCTTGATCAGCAACAGACTATTCCAGAGGAGATACTGCAATTTGAAAAGAAATTGGGAGAACCTGTAAGAGTGCATAATGATGACAAAATTCGAAGGCAAAAAGTTCAGCAGCAGAAGAGTTTTGCTAAGAAGTCACCTAACAATGTGTCCTCGCAAGAGGGAAGATTGGCAGAAAATCTTGAGCCTGCTTTTGCAGACATGGAACTGAGAGTAGCTCTGTCTAAATTAACCCTACAGAAAACACCAGCTACCGTCAACAGAGAATCTTCTCACATTAGGAAGATGAAAACATCGGAACTCCCACTCTTGGACCATGTTTTTGCCGAAGGGCTTTATTTTACTTTGGCTGATGCAGTTCTCTTTCCATGTATCCATTATTTTCTGGTAAGAATTACATTAATAGGAGATCCTCAGTCCCTTTTAGCTTTATAGGTTGGCTGCACTCATCTTCCACAACAATGTTTTCCTCACTCTGGCCATGCTCACCTGTGAGTAGAAAGAGCTGAATGGAGATGCCCTATGGTGCTAATGTAAGCATGCTTCTTCAGAAATATGTCTCACTAAGTTCAGTGAAGAAGACAGGATGGCCTGGCGTGCTCTGGTCCATGGGGTTACGAAGAGTCAGACACGACTAAACAACAACAAGTTCAGTGGAACTTAGCCTCTGTGGAATAGTACACTTGTAATACCAGCTCCTTCCCAAGCCTACTGAAGCAATTTTTCATCATATCAGACTTGCTAGCTTCTGCTCTAGTGCCAGTGATTTGAGTTTTCTGCATATAGATGATTTGGGAGAAAGAGGTGCTTCTACCCAGGTTTTGCTAAAGATTAAAATCCCATATCACTGTTGCAGGTTCTATCTTTACATTGGCACTTTCTAAGAATAGAGAGCCCTTGCTTCATTGGAGATTGATGGTATGGGCTGTTTAGGTACCAGAAAACCACCAGAATTCTGTTTTGCCTGAAGATCTCCTAACCATTGAGATATGTAAAAGAGAACAAACAATCCAATCAACATGGATTTCATATTCCAGGAAGTACATACACCAGTGTATAACTTCATTATCTGATTAAGGTACAATACAAAAGCAAAACTTTTAAGTACCAAAGAGTTAGTACATAAGTCAAATTAAAGTAGAGTCATGTAGCTGAGGATGTATCCATTAAGCTGATGGGGTTACGAAGAGTGGTAATTCATGGGTTTTGGAGGCATATGGTTCCAAAACTACCTGCCAAAATGAAAAGTGACCCTCAGCCCCTTGTCAAGATCACACACTCCAGTCTAAATACTTTGAACACAGTTTTGATTGAAAACCCTTGAAATTGTTATGTTATTCTGTTGCTCTTTGGAATTGTAGAGGTAAATTCAGGAGTGAATTTTAGGGCCAAGCTCCCTCTTGTGTTTTGGAGTTTGGTCCTCCCTGAATCATTGGCTATACTGAGAAACCCAGCATCTGTAATTGTGTCCCTCATGTAGCAAAGCAACAGTAGGACAAAGCAAGCATGCTTATTTCATGAATTTTCTTTGTGTGTATTTGTCACCTTGCTTCATAAAGTTCATATATAAAGCAGAATTTTGTATTTTTCTTAAGGGTTTCATCAAGAAGCATCAAGACTTTATTTCACGGTTGCCTTTGATAACCAGCTGGTATCAGAGGGTTCAAGAGGTACCTGGGATCAAGCAAGCTGCTGTCAAATGTAATATGCAATTTCTTCAGTATATGGGACCATTCTCTACACCAGATGAGCATCTACAGAATACCTGTACAACATCTAATGAGCCAAAAGAGGAATATGAAGACTCTCGATTTATAGGTGGACCAAGACCAACCATGACAAAATTAATGGTAGATTAATTATTGTTTATTGATTGTAGGAACTGACCATAAAAATATTCCCCCCTCCCAAAAGTTTGGTTGACTAAGAGAAGGAATGTGTCAATATCTTTGGCCGTTTCAGTCAGTTCACATGAGAAAAATTAACAAAATTACTTGAATCTTCCTTGAAATACTGAACATATTAATATTTGTGCTCCACTTTAGAATAGGAAATGGTCAGTACTTAGTATTTACCTTTTAGTAATAAGAATTTAATAATAATTTAATGTCTATTAGATATTCCCATGACTGTAATATACCCAGTGTGGTGTAGTGGATAATGAAGAACTAGGATTTGGGAAGCCTGGGTTCAAATCCCTGTTCTGCCATAGAAACTCACCGGAGCCTGGAACTGATAACACCACACCTTAAATATCTCACTTGCCTTGAAAACCCAATTAGGGCTGCTATAGTTTCTGGCTTGATAGCACATAACAAATGCAATACAAGTGATATAACTTGTGAAGTGAATTCTAGCAAGTTACACAGTCCAGATGGATGTTATCTATTATGTTCAAAGCCGCATAATTCAGCACAGAACAAGCAATGCCAATACTGGCTTCATTACTCGTAGCAATTCAATAGATGCTTCTTTTGAGTTATGTATGAAATGACAATAGGATTTATTTCTTTTTCAAAGTTAAGGGTAGTTTCATCTGGAATCAAGATTGTGTTTTGGCTTTTGGTACAAATACTTCTGAGGAAGAGATAGTAATTCATTGATTTATGTAGTTATGGTCAAATAGTCAACCTACTTCCACACAGGTTGTGCTAGTAATCCTTACAGCATCCTATAAATAATGGTAGGAAGCATTGCTATATGTTGCAGATAGACACTTTAATTAATAGCTGCTTACCTGAACAGATCTCCTGGCTCCTATTTGTCATGCTTTGCCAACTTTCATATTGAGCTACTGTAGTTTGTCTTAAACCTGTGTTCTTGTTGGTTTGCTAATCTATTGATACTCCTTATCCAATAATCTGAAAAGATTGGTTTCTCTAGAAAGTATGCTTTGATAGACATACTGTACAAATTGAGATAAGATGCCTCTATAGCATGGTCAGGAAAATGCAGCCTGAAGGTCAACAAGCAAACCCTACAAACACTCTTCTTCCAAGGCTACCCTATATCCACCCTCCCAGGTTATTTGCCAGAAAAGACCTGTTTCTCTTTTCAGAGGCCCCACAAGCAGAGTTTTTTCAGCTCAGGAGCTCAAGAGAGGGTTCCCCGCAAGATCCCAGCCCCCTACACGTAAAAATGTAAATTGGAATTGTTCAACTGGCCGAATGCTGTTTAATTCTTTTAGTTGCTTCCAGCTGTTTCAGAGTATGGTGTGACCCGTTGACTGTGGGTAATTATTTGCCCCTCAGCCCACCTGCTCTATAAAGCACCTATTAAATAAACCAGAAATTTTCTGAATACTGTGCTTGGGAATTGCAGAACAATCATATTGACTTGCACTATACAGATAAGTAAGTTGTAGGTGTTAGCTGATCTAATAATTATTTTTATCCCATGAATTAAATGCAGGACAGAGGTATTGAAGCAAAGTTTTCCCCTCATCCTTGTCCAAGCTGGGCCCTAGATTGGACCAGTCTACCAGCCGCAGTTAACCCAGGGAAAGGTAAGGATTTTCTCTTTCTAAAGCCATTTCTGCTGAAATTCTACGTTCATTTGCCAAAAGACAATATGACAGCTGCTGATGCATGTGAAGGGTTACACCACCTCTGGAGAGATGGGAAACACAAACAATATTTCTGTGTCATTCATCATTTCAAAATAAATAAACAAAAAACTAGGAATCAATGTTCAACCTACAAATACAACATTTACTATGAATTATATACAGTATCATAGAAGTGAGTATACCCCCTCACATTTCATAAATATTTTAGTATATTGTGTAGTATATGTGACAACACTGAAGAAATGACACTTGGTTATGATGTAAAGCAATGTACATGAATGCCAATATGTATTGTGATACACTGAAACAGAGCAGGATCCCCTCCCTTTGGAGACTGGGCTGCAGGGCAGCATAACGACCCCAAACACACCTCCAAAATGACCACTGCCTTGCTAAAGAAGTTGAGGGTAAAGGTGATGGACTGGCCAAGCATGTCTCCAGACGTAAACCCTATTGAGCATCTGTGGGGCATTGTAAAACGGAAGGTGGAGGTGTGCAAGGTCTCTAACATCCACCAGCTCTGTGAAGTCATGTAGGAGTGGAAGAGGACTCCAGCAGCAACCTGTGAAGCTCTGGTGAACTCTATGCCCAAGAGGGTTAAGGCAGTGCTGGGAAATAATGGTGGCCACACAAAATATTGACACTGTGCCCAATTTGGACATTGTCACTTAGGGGTGTACTCACTTTTGTTGCCAGCGGTTTAGACATTGATGGCTGTGTGTTGCATTATTTTGAGGGGACAGCACATTTACACTGTTATACAAGCTGTATACTCACTGCTTTACATTGTAGCCAAGTGTCATTTCTTCATTGTTGTCACATGAAAATATATACTAAAATATTTATGAAATGTGAGGGGGTGTATCACTTCTGTGATATACTGTGTACACTGCTTCTCCATTGCCAAACATTTAAAATAAGATTTTTGTCCTTTGTGTCCTTTTTTGGAGGTGGAAAGAGGATTACCTTCTTCACCCCTCTCATTCCTAAGTGTCCAGACCATGGTCAAGGCTTGCAGACCTTCACATTCCTTTTCCTAATGTCTATTGGCAACTGTTGAAGTGTTGGGATCAAATCCTCCCAGTTGTTTTGACCTTTCTTCTGAGTCACTTGGGTGGCTCAAAGACTTGCCTTTGCTTCGTTGGGTTCCTCTGGATCATCTGATAGTGTATTCGTTTAAATGATATGCAGTGTATTTGGTCAGTGGATGGTGAAGTTTGGAAGCCACACAGCCAGCATATATTGTGGAGTCTAGCTCTGCCTCATTACACATGGAGGTAGATCTTTCTTAAGTGTCCCATTCCATCTTCTCAAAATCCCATAAAGAAATCAGATATCACTCCAGTAATCATACTTGTTGTCAGTGAAATCTCTTGAGTGTTCAGAACTAATATATATTGGTTCCAGATCTCTGGAATGAAATGAAATGCACACACTGTTGTGCTTCATTGTCTTTCTGATAGCCACTGTTGAATATGGAGAATAGAGCACAACTGAACTTACTATCATCTTATGCATTCATTCTTTAATAACTTATATTAACTAACTTAACATGAAGCATAACTACTTTGACATAAGGCATTAACAATTTATATAAATTCTCCTGATGTCTTATAGTTTCTAGGATACTCAGCTGTCTGTATTCCATGGATGAACAATGTCCTCACTTTAAAAATAGGTTGGAATGTTTACCTATTCCTTTCTGTAAACCAGACATTCCTAGATGGTTATCCAGTTGCAGATGATAAGTGCAGGTGACTTCCTTCTTGATAATATTAATATTTTCTTCATATGTTAGTATATTCGATTCAATACGCCATTGCTCTTATCTCCATTAAAAGATAGAAGAGACACACTGTCACTGTCAAAAGAATTTGTGATGGAAGATAAATAGAAAATACATGTCATTTTTATTAAAAATACACTGTAGTTTCAGGAATTAGGGAATTTCAGGATAAAGAGAGAAACCATGAAGAGGCATGAGTTGTGAAATCTGTTAAAAGCTTTTAATCTGGGCTGGTTTAACAAGCTGCTCTTCATGAAAATAATTGAGAGATATAAAGGCCAAAATGCTGTTACTTAGTGTAGTAAGTTGCAGTAGAGTAGGCCCCTTGATGCAGGGAGGGATTGAGTCTACTCTTCTGTAAGTTACATTGATTCAAATGGCCTACTTTAGTTGAGTTATTACACAAAGCAACAGGATTTCAGCCTATGAGAAGTAAAGCTTTAGATAATAAAGTGTTACTGGAAATTATATTTTTGAAATGTCATTTTTGAGAAACAACTATGCATTTCAGCATGTTAATTTGGTGAGGGAATATTTATGGATAGGAAATGATTGCAAGTCTGTGGCCCAAATCTTGTTGGTTAGTTATACCTAGTAAAAGCAAATATTGCTAGTTAATGAGCCGCCACTTGGATTTTTGGGTGTGTCTCAGTCCATTGGTTTGGTGCATATCTGTAAGTGCAAGTGGGGACTTTTAAATTGTGAGTGAGAGTCTGCTGCAAGTTACACACTCTATCTTCTGCAGGTGTAACTAAGCCACAGGATTGTGACCTGTGTGTAGTAATATGGAAATAAGTCCCAGTTAATATACTGATCTGGTATGCACATACGCTGCACTATTATCTGTTTATCCTAATGATTTGAATATCTGCTGGGAAATTTGTCATTCTCAGATAAATACATGCAGATAAAACACAACAATCTCCTATCGTAACATAAAAATATGAACTCACAAAAAGTAAGAAAATATACAGAAGGGAAAAAACACACTTCACTAAAAATAAAAAAGCAGTGCACAATTCATACACAAATACACAGCCCATACAAAAAATGAGGCAAACCACAAAAAAGAAACATAACACAAAACACACACAAACTCACACACCCAACACATAACCAATAAAAAGACCACAGCTCTCCACAAACGTAAAAACAAACGACACTTCCCATAGTAAACAAGAAACACATCTGTAAAAACAGGCAAACTAATCCTGTTACTTCTGTGGTGTTTGGCCTACTATCTGGGTATTTGTCAGAAGATGAATCAATTTAATTTTTTTGCCCCTACGAAACAAATGGTCCCAGCTTTGCGGGGATGGTGGATACATTAGGGATTTGAGAGCATATTGTCAGTTCTCTTCCATATGGCTTCCATGATTATCAGCCAGAGATCACTCAATTTTTTTGCCCCTACGAAACAAATGGTCCCAGCTTTGCGGGGATGGTGGATACATTAGGGATTTGAGAGCATATTGTCAGTTCTCTTCCATATGGCTTCCATGATTATGTGGCCAGCCAGAGAATACATGGCTCTTTAGAAGACAAACAGGGAAAGATGGACTTTAGGTTTGACTTGTTATAAAGAATAATCCCATGTTCCCTTCAACAACGCATTTATTCACAGACGTTAAAAATATGACACACTTTTCACTGGCATGCAAGATTTATTTAAACTACCACAGTTTAAATTACCCACAATTTCTTATTTGCTTCTGATTGATTTTCAGTGACACACAGAACAGCTGCTGTTAGATGTTTCTTTTAAATGAATTGTTTATTAAATATATTTAATGAATACCTTAATATATTCTCGAAGGCTTTCATAGCCAGGATCTGATGGTTGTTGTGGGTTTTTCGGGCTCTTTGGCCGTGTTTGGAAGGTTGTTCTTACTGACGTTTCGCCAGTCTCTGTGGACAGCATCTTCAGAGGACTGGAGTAGGAACTCTGTCCATGCTCTGTTGCTGTTTGTTGGATAGTTGAGTATTTATAGCTGTGGGAACAGCTTTTGTCTTTTTCAGGAGATAGGGTGATC